TATTCAATTTTTAAAAATAAAAAAAAATTTGTAATGGACTTGAAGAAAGCTGGTGATACACCTTTTGAGAATCCTGTATCAATCATCTTGTTCATTTGATAGTTTTAATTGTAAAAACTTATTATAAAGACTTTAAAAAATACTACAGTTTTGATTTACAAAAAAACGTTGCTTTAACTTGCCAAGACATGGCATCGATTTCAATTTGAATGTATTTAAAAATAAAAAACTAAATCAGAAAAAAAGAAGGAAAAAAAATTTACTCATTCATTATGTATGAATTTTAAATATATAAAAGAATTTTTCTGCATCTAAGTTGCAAATGGCATAACATTTTCCTCTCCTCACTGTAATTAGTGTATTGCAACATATTTTGTAATTACATTTTGAATGTTTTCTATATCATTTTAATAATTTCTTTAATTTAAAATAAATTTCAATGGTCCTTAAATGTCATTTTTCAAATATGAAAGGAGAACATATTATAATTTTGAAGTTCAACAAAAATCCTAGCTTACAGTTTATTGTTTATGGAGTTATATGTTATTGTTAATAAATTTCTCTTTAACCTCAATTCAAAAGAGCGCAGAGAATTTTATTTTTTTGCATCTATAATATAAAATGGCATATTTATAAAATATTTCAAAACAGGTAAAATTTCATTGTTTTAGGCGCGGGCTATTTTTATTGTTCTCTGCAATAGAACAATTTTTCAGAATTTCCGAATACAAAATACTATCTTTTAAAAAAGAGAATGAAATTGTGCCGAAAATTATTATTCCTCACAAATACACATCATTTATCAATATAACAAAAAAGTGCAGCATAAAGCACTTTAAGACACTTCTTTTGAGTTTTTATGATTAATGATTCGAGTTAAGCCTGGAAATTTACAGTCATTACGCCATATTTCTTTCTTTCAAAGCATTGCTCTTGGTCGTATCCGTTTATCCCGGCCCAACGGAGCTGGGTTTTGGTTTTTTTTTTTTTTCTCTTTCTTCATCTTAAGTTATAGTTAAGAAAAACTGATACGTATTTTTTCCTTCCGTATTTGTTCGAGCGATTCAAGACATATCTTTTTATAATGCATTTTCTATGCTGCTATTTGAAAAGGCTAAATGTCGTCCACAAAATCTAAAATCAATATGTATAATTAATCTTTTATATGGTTATCCCATACCAATTTTCCCCGTATCGCTCCAAAATTAAAGGAAATGTAAACGAAAATATTAAATATAGAATCAAATTGAAATAAAAGAAATAAAAAATAAGGGGGGAATTGAATCTGCCATAGTTAAAAGAGTCCCAGCCAATAAATTTTTCTTCTTGAAGTTTAAAAAGTTTGAATCTTTATAGAACGAAAGGCTTATCTTAAAAATGATAATTAATTATTTCCCATGATAATTTAGGCTACAAAATCAGACACCAAAACTCGCTTCCCCTGAATATGCGTTATTTATTTATTTATTTTTTTTAATTCGAATCAACAAATTTAACTTTTTGAAGTCAAACAATTGTTCATAACAGAAATGAATCATACTCAATAACTTTCGGTCTAATGATCGATCCGCAAGGGTAATTTTGCATACTGAGTAGTTCGAAATTTTTACCATAAATACGATAATTATTCATTACCAATGATAATTTAAAATACGAAGTCAGACACAAAAACTTACGCCTTTAAAATTAGCAAACGAAGCGTAAGAAAAAATTTCAACAATCTATTTTTAGTTACATAAATCACGTTAAAGTGTTGATTTTTTTTCTCTTTTTCCTTTTTTTGAAAATATTAAATTAATTGCGCATTTAAGAAAACCCAATGTTTGACATACAGCGTGTAAAATAAAAAACGGAATAGCTTAGTAATTTAACACTTACCGATATGGCGTCTTAATGTTTCGAGTGCTTAACCTTAAATATACTAGTAATTAATTATTGCACACGACATTTAAAGTTACGAAATAAGACTTAAAAATATACTATTCTGAATGAACTTTGTGAGGACGAATTCTTAAATTCTTGATATGGGGAGGTGATAGTCGCAGAAAATTTGGTCCCAATGCATACATAATTTGGTTCAAGGAGCGACCGAGCGTTTGGACCCCTTTAACGTTTATGAAATGTTTCTACCATTTAATATTAACTTGTAAGTTAATTGTGCTACATAGCTGCTATTTTTTTTTCATTCCTTAGAAGATTTTTTTTAGTGGTAGAAAGCTAACCAATAAAATCGTTCATCTTGCAGAAACTTGTACCTATCCTGAAGAAAAGGTGAGCCTATTTGGAAACCAAGTCTTGAGAATTTCTACAGTGTTCATACTGTTAAATTAAATTGTGGAATAAATTTTTTCGTTGCATTTATACAAATACTTCAGCTTGATTAATTTAGAAGTGGTAGTATCAAATCTGAAATTAGTTTTCCTCTAAAGCTTCCTTTTTTTTTAATTACATTTTAAGTCTATTTTTTGTCGAAATGTGCAAGTTTAACTGCGTTATATATAATAGGGGGTCACATAAATGTTGCAACTAACTTTTAGGGGAGTTAGGGCACTTCATCAGGATTAAAATTGAACAAGAACCCATGCCTTGAAATGTCGCCATACGCTGCTAGGGATGCTTCCCAATTATGAACTGTTCCCTCATGTTCTTCTGAACAGGTGACAATAGGGAAGCACCCCCAAGTCACGTGTTTATGGGCATGGGTTCTTATATGATTTCAATCCTGATAATGAGTCCCAACTCCCCTAGAAGTTTGTCCCAACATTTATGAAACCCACATATAAGATAAGAACTTGTACATTTCCACAAAAAAAAAGTCAGTTAAATAGAAACTGCAGCTTAGAGAAAGAAACCGATTGCAGATTTGAAATCAATGACATAAAAATATCCAAAATCTGTTTATTTTTTCTTATGCAACAGCTAACAAAAGAAAAATTTCCCCGGTGTTATCTACTCAAATACAGTAAATTTTCTAACCAAATACTGCATATGTGTCCAAATATTGTCAAGAGCTCATATTTTTAGATGTTCCTTTGTAAAAAATTCAAAAAATAATTTTAATATGCAAATAACTTATCTCTCTGTTTATCTTAAACATCTATTTTCTTTTTTCTCCCGACTAATGCAACTTCAAATAGTTTGATTTTTTTATGTAATTATTAAAAAAAAGGTTTTTTTTTTTTTTACGGAAACACTTTGAATTTTTACAATTAAAATTACGATATTTTTATACTTTGTTAATTTTTATATATACTGATTGAAAAAATTTATGTCCATCAACTAACAATATTTTGAGGGAAATAATCATGCTTTATAATCATGCTGATAAAATTTTCAATTCATACTATTAGTGATAAAGGTAATGCAAAAAGAAAGATAATCTTTACCATATTTTTCAGTTTGCAGTACTACCAATATTTTGAGGGTTTGAAACAAATAAATATTATACTTATCCAGGTAAAGTAGGTACATTATTATCCTTAATGAAAAAAAATATTAAATGTGAACTTTTCGAACCATTAAGATTGCAATTTAGTGTATTAGGATAGCAACTAACTATGTAAACTAACTTAGTGATCTTGAAATCAAAAATTATTAAGGGTAATCTTTTTATTGTACTTTTCATAAATTATTGAACATCAGAAGGGTACTTATAAAATATTAATTTACCAATAAATAGAAGAGTGGCTACTGACCAAATCATTTTTAATGACATAGCAGAAGCAAACATAGCATCTTGAAGTGAAATAATATAAAAATTTTAAAATCTCGGTTCAAGAATAATATATATTAAAAATGTGAAGAAGTAAAAGTTCTGTGTAATAAATAGTAAAATTTGCAGAGTAAAATTTCAAACCTGACCTCGCTTGAATTTCTTTTGGACTGAAGAAACATTAACTTATTCTGTTTGAATTAAAAAATTATATGAAAAAGTTTAATTATTTATTTTAATTTTTAAGGTCTCATCAATTTTATTTAAGGAATTCCGTTTTTAATTCCAATTATTTCCCACTTATTCAGAAATAAAAAAATCCTCACAATAAAAAAATACCAAAATCAATAATAAAAAAACTAATTCATAAAATAATAATTAAAAAAAGATATCAGGTTATTTTCTGTTGGCAAGACTAAAAATTTAATGAACAATTATTTCTCAGAAAACGACTTTTGTTTAAAGAAACTTGTTGATAAAGATAGAAAACTAGCAAAAAAATGGTTACTGGACGAGCAGTGTGTTAGTTAAAACCAAAGAGAAAAGCTTTACATATGAAAAAACTTTAGTTAAATTCACTTTAATNTGTGATGGCATGTCTTCGGATCATCCTCAGGGATGTTTCCCACACAGTCGCCAATAGCCCATTGTGCAGCTCTAGTGTGACGTAAATGAACAACAACAACAAAAAATTATATGAGGTTATTTTCTGTTGGCCAGACTAAAAATTTAATGAATAATTATTTCTCAGAAAACGATTTTTGTTTAAAGAAATTTGTTGCTGATAAAGATATAAAACTAGCAAAAAAATTGTCACTGGATGAGCAATGTGTTGCTATGTTAGTTAAAACCAAAAAGAAAAGCTTTACATATGAAAAAACCTTAGTTAAATTCACTTTAATTCAAATGAAACAGGGAATTCAGCAGAATCTATCAAAATTAGCATTGCAAGGTTTTCAAAAAAGTAAGTCATTATGAGTATGATATTAATAACTGACTTTATTCAAAATTTTTTATTCAAAAAAGATTTTTCTTTTTTTAAATAGAGTTCAGAATGACAGATCTCTTATACATTTGCATTAGCACTAATTAGTGTTATTTTAATTAGAATATTTTGAAATCACGTGGTAAAAAAATATATATACGAGAAAAAAAAGTTTAAAGCCCTGCATATGATGTATATTAAAATTAACAGGGAGACAAAGTGTATATTTCAAACAGGGTGGAAAGGTGTACAAAATAAACAATTATTTTATTCAGAATGCGAAAAATAAATAAATAAATAATAAACGTTTTTAACAAAAATTTTATTATTAAATATAACATGCTATTCTCAGTCCTGTGTAAAAACAAGTCATGATAAATGAACAACATTTATATTTAATCAACAACAAACAAATGTACAAAAATTTAATAACTATATTACAAATAAACCAATAAAAAGTATCATTTGAAAATAATTATAATTTGAAAATAATTATAATTCCCAAGCATATGATTCATAAAATGCAAACTTAGATAATTAATAACGATTTCAGCAAAAATGAATGAAACATCAATTGTATTAAACTCATTAATGATTCATTTAATCAATTACATTTTTGATGATATTGCTTTCAATCTGCCAGCATCTCGAGTAAGTATTTATAAAGCTCTAGATGAAAAAGACACTTTTGAAGTATCAATTCAAATGTTAAAAGTATTGTTACTGCAAAAATATCACTTGGCTTTCAATACAAAGTTAATATACAGTTCAGTGATTGAAATAGAACACAAACGATAATTTCATATAAGATCTGCACATAAGGAATATGTTCTCATATTCAAATTGTTAATCACAGATTAATTTTTAAAATTAATTTAATCACATGGTCAAGATATATCGGGATCAATGTTGGATTCAAATGTCTCATATACAGGGCTGGTAGAAACAACTAATAAGTCATCATGTTCCTAAAAACAAAATTTTTAAAAGATTAGAAAAGTATTCTTCTTATAACATGTTAAGCAAAAATGAATATATTAATAATAAAAACATACAATTGAGACAAATGATAAAAGTTAACACAACTATGCATATAAATGAAATTTCAAATCATGTATGCTCTTAAATATCAACTGAAGTTATGGACATCATAAAATTAAATATGTGTTTTATTTATAAAAAAAGAAGTTTTCAATTCTCTCAAATTTAAAATGGAAATTAGCTTTATAACTTCTGACCAAAAAAAAGTGGATTTTAGGTGACATTTACTAATTAGAGGTGGAAACGTATAAAAGCTTTGTTTAGCAAATAAACGAGTACTTTTGTGTTTTAAATTTGACATACAGGGAATATCTAAGGTATGTAGCATTCTTGGCTTTTAATATTCAGAAATGAGTTCAAATTTGATAATAAACAGTCATAGAGCAGCAAATGTGAAGTTTGAAAAATCTCAAATTAAAAAAGACAATATTTTAACAATACAGGCACTTACCTTCAGTTAAAGTAATAAAAATATAATTTAGAAAAAAAATTACGACAATATATATATATATACCATTTTCAAACTAGTGCCCCCCCCCCCTCCAAAAAAAATCACATTTTTCAGCTTTGGTCATCCAACATGCTGTCGAGGAACTAATTTTCAAATGAGATTTTTTAACAGGATGGCTCAAGAATAAAAAATTCTTTTCTTAGTGGTAGGACAATCCTGCATTCTAAAAATTAACATCTTTACCAATGGAGTATAATGTTTCATTTAAGATTATCGAGAAAAAATGCCTTCTAATGAAAAATTTCTTATAAAATAGAAATTCAAATGAAGCATTAGAGAAAAAATAACAAATAATTATGAAAAAAATTACTTTTTTAAGCTTTATTTATATTTATTTGTATTTAAATCTACTTAACAAAAAAAGAAACCAAATATGTTCCTTAGTCACTCTTTTTACTGACAAATTAACAATTATAATTTATCTATGCTTCCCAATCTTTCATGCCCACTTTTAGGACCAAGTCTCCAGCTCCATAGGACAGGGTCGCCACTGAAATAGAAAAATAAAATTTCCAGATTTTCCAGATATATTTTTAAAAATTTCCAATCCATCGCAGTATGAACTAATAGTGCTATAGTCAAAATATACAGTAAACCACAAAAAATTAATATATGTATTAATCTATATCAATCAAATTCTATCTATCTGATAGATAAATAGATAGAGGGAGAGATCTTTAAGTTAGTTTAATGGCCTGGTGATCAAATTTAATTTTAATCAATTGTTAAAAAATAAATTTTACAATTAATTTAGATATTTTGGAAAATCCTTTCCTTATTTAAGAAAAATCCAGAGAAATTGGCAAGTCTGCTAAAGATCTTTTCTTGAGAGAATAAATTACATCGACGTTTAATCGACAATTAAAAAACTTTTGTGGCATATTTTTTGCTTTTATTTTTTGTTAAAAACATAAGATCAAAGTGCTGTGAAAAATATATTAACAAAATACTATAGTGTTTACATAAGATTCAAACACAATCTAAGAGATAAAAAAAATGTACAACTATTTAACTGGCATTGAATTAGAACTATTCATAGTTAACCAGAGTGATAAAAATAATAAATTATGATATTACATATTTCCTTACATTAAATCCAAAGCAATTTTCAAAATCTTTCTGATATTGGTCTTCCTTATTCGGTTGCATCTCTTTTCCTGGAACAGACTTATCATCTAGAAGAGATGATAGTGAAAGATTCTGAAGTTCAGAAACAGATTTGTCAGCAGAAACTGGAAAGTAGCCAAGTAAGAACAAAATCAACAATCAAACAATAACAATGCATTTAGTTTACCAAACAGTCTTTGTTTATTATTTTTCCTAATGAAAACACCAAACATTGCCATCCAATAAGCAAAATTGAAACTTCAAAGAATTAATACAATTCAAAATTTTGTCAAACATTAAATTTGCTAAAATGGTTCAACATGACACTAACTACCATACCACAGAATCGAGGTTGTAAACAGATTATCATTATATTTAAAGAGTACATTTTAAAGCTGAATTTTCAAATTTATTAAAATTTTATCAAACATAAATTGTACATAAATAAGCTAATTAATATTTTTTGATAATTTAAAGTACTTTAAAATTTATGATGTTATTCAAAACAATCGCTGACAAATTTATATGCTGTAAGTTTCAAATTGCAATTTACTGATGACTGTCAACTTTCTTATTATTAAACAGAAGGAAACTTGTAAAATTGTTCAACTAAAGAACCCTTTGACAGGCATTTTATTTTCACAAAAATTACTTTTTACTAATAACTGCACAGCAATATTTGCAATGCTAAGCATATAACTAGGCTATTGAAAAATTGAAATTATGGAGAAGAAAAAAGTACTAACAAATATATAATATACAAGAAATTAGCGCACCTCAAGAAATAAAAAAAAATTGAAAGTTACCTGAAGAGAAAACATATCTTATTTATTTATTTATGTCAACTTATGTAAAGGTTTTGAATAAGTTTTCAAATACTTATACACGTATAGTATAGACTTATATTTGGAGATAAACAGTATTTTTTTTTTAATTTATGCATAATTTAATGCTTATACAGGAACAAAATCAACTGGGAAGAATTTTGAACATACCACTAATCAACTATGTTTGAATAATACATTTCAACTATCTCTGGAAAATATGAAAATCACATACAAGCGGGGAAAAAATATTTTTATTGCATACTAATAGCAAGATTGTATCTACAGCATATTGAATGCTAAGTTATTTAACCATCCAATATTTTTTTCCCTCTGCTGATTCAGTCTACAAAACAATTTATTAATTTTATAAAATTTGTTTAGAAACACCTTACATAAATAAATAAAAAAATATTTCAAAATCAAACAAACAGTTTATGAAAGAAAAAGAGAAAGTTAATAAAAATTAAAAAAACAAAATCTTCAAATAAAAAATTTTAATTCAAATAGTGGATTGGCTTTTATTCCCCTTAAATCATTAGGTTAGATAAAACAATGAAGCCCAGCATATTTTACCTTTAAAAACAGTAGCATTTTTTCTATCATTTATTTTATTAACTTTTCTGTATGATGAATTCTTCAAAGATTTTTTAGCACTTTTCCCCTTTTGTGGCAAAATTTCATTGTCGTTGCTTTGAACACTACTTTCCAAGTCCATACTATCGTTAACTGTAAGATAATAACACATTCAATATTGCAATAAAAAGAAATAAGATAAATTATAGCAAAACTTGAGAATAAGTAATAAATAAGATTTTAAATGCAATCAACTGAAATAAAAAAAAGCTTATAATATAAAAACATGAATAAGTTTCCTAAATAAGTAAGCATCATTTATCAATTTGCTTATTAAGATACAGTGCCCACCATGTATTAAAATCAGGTTGGTTCAAAGAACACTTGATTTCATGAACCAACTGATTTTTAGATTTAAAGAAAATTAAATTATGAAAATTATTTACATTAAAAGTGTTTGCAATTAAATAATGTTAAATACCTGTAAAAAATTCAAAAACCTAAGTGAAATTTTAGTCAAGTTATAAAAAGTCAAAAAGTTGTACATAGATGTTTTCTCGATTAAATCAAAACTACCTAGACCCCTTAAAATGTCAAGAGCTTTTCAAACATATATCAATTTACTTTATGGAATGATCATCACTTAATCAATCATATGATATGAAAACAGGATCATGGATAGTGAATGATCATAGGCATTTTCTTAATTCATAAACAGATTTCATCTGGAACCTTTTACGCTCTTCCTCCATATGTTTTTAACTCTCACTTTTCCTTAAGAAGTGTAATCCAGAACTGCTTTTTTTTTGTTTGGGAGCAGAATGAAATTTGTTTTTTATATACTAAACATCTTTTAAAACTTACGATAACTGAAAATTCTAACTATTTAGAGAAGATAAAGCAGAGCTTTTCATTTTTAAAACATATACCTAACAAAAATTTGATTTTAAAAAACAGAGATTAAGATTTTCATAAAGGATGGTTTTAACATGCTTTGATAGTGTAAAGAAAATTATTCATGTAGATTTGATTTTCAAAGGGAGCAGATTTTATTAGTAGTTGTCACTGAATAATAAAAATTGGCCACTTGTATTTATAAGTCATTATTACCATCCTAATGATGCTAAGCTAGAGAAAAAAAACTGCAAACCATGTTTATAAAAGAAAATAAACTTTCATGTGCCAGACAATAAAATTTTAAAATATTTCAAAAGAAATGTGACCTCAAAAAAAATTTTAAAAAAAGGTCAAATAATAGACTTTTTAGTTTTTACAGTGTTCTCTCTAAGTGCTTTTAGAATGGTGGCCCACCCTGCCTGCCCTTTTACAGAGGTAAATGCTCCCTCCTTGCCCTCTTTTTTCAGAAAAAAAAATGCTCTTTTTTTTATTTTAAGAAAAGAAATTGCAGAAGCAGAAACCAGGAACTATTGAACACTATTTTTAGACAAAATTAATATAAAATATTATTTCTGATATTTATTTTTGAGTACTTAGAATTCAGTTTGGAAGGGATATAATTAATGTAATTTTCAAGTTCAGTACCTTTTAAAACTGAAGGTATCCTTATTTTTAAAAAAGCACCCTGCCCTTTTTTATTTTTAGAGAGATTGGTGGTTTTTAAAATGTACAAACTCTGCACACATTTTAAAATTATTTAATCTTATCAATAATTAAACTTGAAAAACATGATATGGATTGAGAATTACCTGGTAACCTATGAGTGGAAAAATCCTCACACACTGCTATAGGAGGGCTTTCTTATTGTTGGTCTAGCTGCTCTTGCACTTGGACCAGTGAAATTGTTTATATAAATTAAGGTTATGTTTTCTAGTTATATTGTCGAAAATTGCCTTCAAATAGGCCTAACAATAGCTGTTTTATTATATTTTAGTGATTTATCCTTAATATGGGCAAACTTTTTTGCAAATTACTTGCCAAAACAATTAACTAATGAAACAGTTAAATCTGCACAATTTTTTACAATTAACATAACATAAGATTAAGATAATGAACATAACATAAAATTAAAATTAAGATAAAATTAAACATAAAATTAAGATAATGAAGCTCAACATAATAACAGTTCAATGCACGCTCACGAGCAGCTAGTCTGTAATAGGGAGGAACCCTTGGAGGTGTATGATTACATTTCCGACCATGGATAGATATGCAATTATTGATCCTTATTATGTACGTTCCACCAAGTTTGTAACTGCTCTACAAAAACACTTTGTATGATGTTTCAAATTACATATATTTAGAAGAAAAAAGTTTTAAATATCAAAAAAAAGCCAGGCATAAGTTGGAAGTTTGATCTAAATCACCTAATCCAAATTTTTAAAGTGAAATTGAAAATTTAAAAAATAAAAATAATAGAAATCTATGTAATTTTATATTAGTGAACTAGTTATCCACCTGTAGTAAAAGAGCATCAAGTGAAAATAAAATAGTTACCCTCAGAATCAGAAATGTTTTCAGAAAGACCAAGTAAGTCACTAATTTCATCAGCACGCTGAATAACAGAGAACTCTTGCCTTTCGTTGCCATTAAAAAGTAGAGTTTGACCATCAAGCATTGTAATTGTTTGAGGTTCAGAAATCATACTATTTGCTCCAGGCAACTGGATAACTTCAAACACAACAACCTAAAATGCAATGGAATAAAATGATTAATCTTGTAAACAAATTCTTTAGAAACAAGCAATAACTCTTTTGAAATTTAGCGATTATTGATGGATTTAATGGGGGGAAATTTAATTATTTTAATGAAAAATAGTTTATAATTAAATTAATATTTTAGTTTAAAAAAAAAGTAATTATTATTTTTGTTCATGGCACTAAAGTTTATATCTAAAACAAAACTAATCATACACAGTGATGTCTATGCACATTAAAAAATGTTAACACTTTACTTGTTGGCTCTCTTTATCATCTGCAACAGAATCATATTCATTCATTTCTTCTTCATCTTCCTCACCATCTATATCTTGTCCTGGCTTTTTAGGTTCTCCTAACCTCATGGCCAGCTCTTTATCAGTAGCTGAAGCATCTGGATCATGGATAGCAAAATGTCGTATTAAATTACCCTGAAAAGATTATTAAACAATAAGAATTAGGTACTAAAAAGTAATAGCCATTGCTCAAAAGAAAATAGTATGAAAATGAACTGAAATTCTTTAAATTAAATTACATAGGGTTCCCACTCAATTTCAGAAAAAAAAATTCTTGACTTTTCCAGGTATATTAGGTAAATTTTAATGAAAATCCATACCATATTACATTGATACCATGCATCAGAAAACTTTCATATTTTTTATTTGTAATCTCAAATATTAAATTTTGGGAGTAAAAATATATTATAGAATGAGGACGGAAACGTAGAAAAGTTTCACTAAAAGGTAGAATTTTATAAAATAATTGTAATAAATGTTCGATTTACTTATTGAATCTCAATAACTGATTGCTGTTATTGACAATTCTAAGACTGGTTTTTTTGCCAGGTATAATACAGGAATTTTCCAGGTTTTTTGTTAAAAATTGCAACTTTCCCTAACTATTCCCTGTTCTTTAGAGTTAAAATAAAAATTCTCTGACAATTTCAGGTTTTCCCTGTTCTTCCTGATAAGTGGGAACCCTGATTAGAACAAAAAATTTATCATGAAGATTTTATTTTGGAGTATTGCATTTTCATTGGACCTGAAAATGTCACAAAGAGATAAGTATCACATATATTTGAAATTATGCTAATGATTAATCAAAACGTATAATGAATAATATTTGGGGATTTTATAAAAGATAAATGAAACATTCTTAAAGCAAATAAACATAAACAGAATCTTTCAGTACACATTCATTATATTAAATTGATATATTTAAATGCTATTCATACTCAGCCAACCCATAATGATGCTAGATCGAGTTACGATAACAAGTCTCTAAATATGATTCTTCTAATTAATATGAAGTAATTTTATGATTTGTTGGTTGAACAATTGATACATTTTAGTGATTAAATGTTTTCCAGAATATCAATATAAAAAATAATAAATAAAATATGCAAGTTTTAGGAGATGCGTGGACCAATATGGCCTTCATTTGGCTATGTTTTTAGCAAAAACATTCACCATATAAATAATCAAAATGAAATAGTAGTAAGTGGAAGATATTCCTTGTGTCTAAAAGTTTTTGTGCAAACAGTGCAAGAATGGTGAATTAGTTTTCTTTAAGGTTTATTCAGTTATAATTTGAATAAAAATTAATATTTTTATGGCACTTAAAGAACATGAATATTAAAAAAGAAAAAAAAATCTTCAAATTTCAGGAAGGGCCTTAACCCACAAAGGCTATGTCTCTAGCATTCATCAACAAAAAATTAAAAATAGAAATTTTCGTACCTTGTGTCTAAAAGCTTTTGTACAAACAGTACAAACATGATTTTTTTCTTTGGGCTCAGGTCTGATATAATTTGGATCATGATAAATATTTTTATGCCGTTTTAAGAGCTGCTTCTGACGAAAGCTTTGATCGCATTCATCACAGTGAAATGGTTTCTGATCAGTGTGAATAAACATGTGTGTTTCTAAATGCCGTTGAGAAATAGAAGCATAATTGCATAAATCACACTTAAAACACTTTTCACCATCATGACTTTTAGCATGAATCTGAAAAAAAAATTACATTTTAAAAAAGTAAATTACTTTCATATACTTCGACATTTCTATTTTGAACAATACAATTCTATTTCCAGTTGTCAAATACTTTAAATAAAAACATATAATATTTAAAATTAAACAAAATGAAAAGGTAACAAATATGTTACAAATTCAAGGAAAGTATCTGAAGACTTAAATAAACAAACCTACAAACATAAACAAAAAGAAAAGGCTTTCCGTAAAAAATATTTACACACACCAGTCATCCATTTTCTGAAAACTTAAATTTAAGATCATAATTAGCAATGTTCTAAGTGTTTTTAAAAGGAAGGCCCATCCTGCCCGTCCTTTCACAAAGATAGTGGCATTAAGTGAAGACTTAAAATAAATAGCAATCTACAAATGAAAACATAAAAAAAAAAAGAATTTCCCAGAAATATATTTGTACACAAGTCATCCATTTTCTGAAAACTCAAATTCAAAATTATATGTGTTCCCCTTAAGTGATTTTAAAAGGGTGGCTCAAAGGGTGGACTCAGAAATTTGAAACAATGCTCTAAAATAACATGATCTATATTTCTGAAACATAGTTTGAGATCATATAGTTAACTATCATGAAGTTCATAGTAGAGTTGAATTAACATAATGCCGAGCTGACCCTTCCTATAAATTTGATTGATACATGGTTTTATGAATTTTAAATATCTACTACAAAAATAAATTGCCACATACATACAAAGAGAAGAATAGAAATTTTTTTAATAAGACACTATAAAATTTCTTAGATATATCAATGTCTATACAGTAAATCTACACGCTGTATAAAATCTGTATAAAAATATAAAATCTGTATAAAAATTATTTACTAAAATTTTAGTTCTAGTTTCCTTGCTTGCTTAGTTCTTCATGGTTCAATAAAAAAAAATTTTAAAAAAATAAAAACTTATTTGGTTTTATAATTATTACCAAAAAATATATAATTCTAAAAAAAGATTTAAAATTTCAATAAGAGTTTGACTTATAATAATAGCTACATTTGCCCACTGTAGTGCATGACAAATAAAAAATATAAAATGTAAGCAAATGAAAAGTCACAAAATATCTTTATAAAGATATCAACAACATAAAGGTATTACAAAACATTAATACAAAAAACTTCTAAAAAATCATTTTACAAAACACCTACATAATATTTTAAATGCCTACCTTATAACTATACCTATCTAGAAAAACTTTACCACACCTTCTACATCTGTGTGGTTTATCACTCGAGTGAAGCTTTTCCATGTGAATGCGCAAATCAGTTTTCCGTCCACAAGTAGCAGGACAATATTCACAATGAAACACAGGTTTATTTCCAGAATGTATAAGCTTATGGGCTTTCAAACTGTTTGATTGAGTAAACCTGGTTTGGCAAATATCACATTCATATGGCTTCTCACCAGTGTGAATACGCAAATGCCTCTTCAGCTTGTACGTATCCGGACTAGCATATGTGCAATGTGGGCATTGGTAAGGCCTTTCTCCCGTATGGCAACGCATATGACGCTTTAATTTGCTCAGTTCTACACTTGCATAATCACATTCAGTGCACTTATGTGGCTTTTCATGGGTATGTTTATAACGCACATGACGAACAAGCTCACCAGAAGTAGTGAAGCAAGAATCACATTCCTTGCAAGAGTGAGGACGTGTTCCAGTGTGTGTATTAACATGATTTTGAAGGGAAGCTACAGTTTTGAATCCTCTTTCACAAACACCACATTTATGTGGTCTCTCATCTGAATGACTTTTCATATGGCGTGACAATAAGTATCTTTTTGGACTTGAATAGCTACAATAAGCACAGGCGTGTTGTTGAGTAGCTAATGAAGATTTTCGTGGAGCTAAACGTATTGTACGCATTTTGACTCCTTCATTTAACTGTTCTGATAAAAATGCCTCACTTAACTGAGCAGCATCAGTCAAATTGAAAATAGGCAGGCTTCCTTCGATGACATTTTTATCAAGGCATTCACCAGTTTCTGAAACAAACAAAACGTAGCTCAATTCTCCAGGATTTGTGTCTGATGGTACGATAGTAACTGTTTGATAAGGTGCTCCATTTTCAGTATTCTATTTAGGAAGAGAAAAAATAAATGCTACACGCTATAAAAATATATATTATTCACATAAAATAACAATTTCAAAAATAGTAAATGTTATAAAAGTTTTATCAGTAAATATTTACTTCAGCAATTTTCAATAACCATCACAAGGTTCAAAAAATTCATGTCACCCATTTGCTTAAAAATAAAAGCTGGCACCTAATGCTTTTGTACACCTAAACTTGTTTTTTTAGACTTGAAAATTTTTCTAGGCGAAATAAACTTATTAACTCAGAAAACACTGGGTTTCGTCATTTGATCTGCTTGTTTTGATAAATAGCAGCCATGAAAAATGATTCAATGCAGAAATATGAAGGAAAAAAAGACTAAATGTAAGTTTTAGCAAGCGAGTGTGGATCAGACGCTGTGAAAAACAAAAAAAGGAATGGAAAATTGAAAAGAATGCAATGATTTTCTGATAGTACCTCGTGTACCCGATTTTCAGAAATAGGAAAGTTGCAATGCTCTCCTTTCCCAATGAGATTTAAAATGCTTCAAAAGCACGAAAAATCAATCGAATGTATAAAATGTATAAGTAACAAACATGCATACAAAAATACCGAAAGTACACAATTAGAAAAGCATGCGTTAAAAATTAATAATTCTGTAATATAGTATATGAAAACTCATTATATTGTATAACTAAAAATAAACTGTTTAATAGCTAAAGACCATGCAGAGCTCAGGCAAAATACCATATGTCTGATCACTTTAATTTTCAGATAATATTAAATTAAAAATATGCGTCTTTATGTAATTTCATACAGCAAAAAGTACTTTGATTCCATAATTTGATTATGCCAGCTTATTATAGAAGGCTTCTTTGCACTCTATAATATGCCTGCTGATTGGTCCTGGCTTCTGGAAATTTTGATTTTTTGCATACCTTCGCTTTGCTCATTTCTTTTCACCCTATTTATCTCCCTGTTCTTCGTACTTTGTTATTCTTACTGAACTTTTTTAAATAGATTTTATTTCCTACAATTTAAATGCTAAGAATCAAGACTTACTAACATTATGCATGACCTGCTTAATCAGGATTCTCTAATAGATGCACCACAATAAAAATTTCCGCCAGGTGCTACTGCTTAACAATCAAGCCTTTAATTTAATTCATTTTTCTATTTAATGGGCACAAGTCCTTTTAGTATATGTTTAATAAATCTACAAAATATCTTTAGAAATCTACAAAGCAATATTGTGACCAGTTAATAACCTACAAAAGTGAAACCTGAACAATTGCATAATATGAAGAAAAAATAATCAAATTTGGGAACGAAAAATTATGAGAAAAATATTTGGACCAGTAAAAGATGGCCATGTTTAGAGAATCAGATTATACCCAGAAATTGAGAAACTATATAAAGACAAAGATAAGATCATTAAGTCTAAAAGACTACAGTGGTTAGTTCACTTAATTAGAGTGAATGAGAATCAAAGTTTTAATAACGTCCATTGGGGGGAAATAACAGGAAAGAAACCTGTTGGAAGACCCAGAAAACAGCAGCTTGGGAAAGTTGAGGGAGACCTAAAAATCATGAAAGTTAAAAGTTATAAAAAGAAAGCTGAGGATCAAAACGTTTGGAGGCATGCTGTAAGGGGGGCCAAAACTTTTCATGGGTTGTAGCGCCAAGGAGTGAGTGAATACATCTTTTCTCATTTTTTTTCACCCTATTTATCTTACTTTGTTATTCTTACTTAACTATTTAAAATTTTAAATATATGTTTCATATAATTTAAATGTTAAAGATCAAGACTCACAAACATTATGCATGACCTGCTTAATCACGTTCTTCTTATAGCTACACCAAAACAAAAACTACCACCAGGTGTTACTACTTAAGAACAGAAACAACTTAGACAAGCAGTACTTGAGAGAATCTACACTATCCCAAAGGAGGCTGCTCAATTATATACGGATGGAGGCAAGGACGAAGACAATCACACCGAGAGTGGGATCTTCATCAAAACTCAAATGAGAGAAATTAAGATCCAGAAAAAGAATCCCGATCACTGTTCCGCATTCAGGAGCGAGCTTATCACCATTGATGATGGACTTGCCTCAATACTGTCTCTTTCAATTCCGAAAGAGATTTGGATCCTTACCGACAGTATAAGCGCTGTTCAGCACTTGGCTAGCTGGCACAGAGTGAGGGACAATACTAGCACGAACATCTTTTATAAACTTTTACACCTCTCCAAATATTGTCGAATTCACATACAATGGATACCCTCACATGTAGATATATCAGGCAATGAAATGGCAGATAGTCTAGCCAAGGCAGGTGCAGCTGGGGCCACTGCGCCTCCAGTATCTCTTACCTCCTCAGAGCTCTTCTCCATTGCTAAAGCCAAAAATAAATCAGCATGGCTCACTCCACCCAGTCACAATTGGTACCAGGGTACCAGACCGGGTAGCTGTTTGACAGCTGACAAAGACCGTCAGTCTCAAACCGCCATCACACGTCTCCGCTGTGGACACCTGAAATCACTGAGGTACTCTGGAGGAGAAAAGTGCTTTGCCCTCTGTACCAAGTGCTCTTCGGCCCAGGCATCCCCTGAACATCTACTGGACTGCCTCGGTCTTTTAAAACAAGACCTTATAGAAAGACCCTTACTTGTTTTAGCCTTTTTGAAGGTGAACAAACTCATGGACCTTGTCTAGCTAGGCTAGAAATGGGGATTTGAAAGAAGAGAAGAAGAACAGAAACTTTACCTTCATTGGTTATTTTTCTTTTTATTTAATGGGCACAAGTTTTTTTAGAATATGTTTTTAATTATTATATGTAATTTAATAAAGGATATCAGTAAGTGGCACACTTCTACACTTTAAGAGAGTCTGATTATTAATTCTTAAGGAAACCTGCTTGATTGAATAGATCATAATTAATTAATAGGTCTCGGTCAACATGCAGCTGAAATGACAAAATATTTTTAAAATTCTTTAATTCAATGAAAAATATTTATTATACATACTTGAATTCTTCACAAATTCAAACAAATCATTGAGGATAAATTTTTTATCTCTGTTTTTTTAAAGAGCTAAACAAAATGAATCATGTAACTTTTAAAAAATTTACACTATTTTATATAGACTATAAATAAAAAGTACACATTAATTTACTTCTTGAATATGATATTGAAAAATCTTAACAGTTTTAAAAATTTTGAATTGAAAAATATATTTAAAATTTATAAAAAAACATTTAAAAGAAATTTTATACTTTTTTCTTCAGTCATAACACCTTTCATTAATTATTAAAACAGATTTATAAATGCATAATAGATAATGTAAATAAATAAAATCAAACATTTTCTTAATATTACATTTTTTTTAAAAATACAAATGCATTTTGGAGAATAAATAGCAAAGTTAAGTCTTTTTTTCTTTTTTTTTAAATCGTCAAAAGAGTCTAGATTTTATGCTTTGGCATTATTTTCAAATATTCCTTTAAAAAAAATAACAAATGATATACTGTGAAATAAATATGAATGTGTAAAAATTTTATAAAACAATTAAATCAACATACTGATATCAAGGAATTCTTTGAAGCTTTAGCTACAGCCTGTTCAGCAAACTGAGCCACCATTTCTAAAGTATGTTTATCATCAATATGAAGTTCTTCTCCAACAGCAGATACAACACCAGAATTTTCTTTTAAAGGTTCTAAAAAGTCATCTTCAAATTTTTCAGTATTATCAATGTTTCTTGATCCCAACCTGATAATTTCAGCACCTTTTCTTCGAGGATGTTTCTAAAAGCATAAATAATTCATTAACAAATGCAATATACATACATATAATAATAAAAAGTAAATATTCCTGAAATTTCATGAAAAATTCCTTAAAACAGTTACTTATTATATAAATTTTTTCTTCCTGTCTGTTGAAAAGTAATAAATTAAGCTTAATGCACTAAAACAAAAAATTTTTAGAATTTTTTTTAATGAGTGTACAAATTAGTAGTGCTATAGTGGGATTTTGTAATAACAATAGAATATTTTTAAGTAGCTATTATAATAGAAGAACCTCAATAAAACTTAAATATTTAAATAGAATTTTCATTTACAATCAATCGGATATTTTTTTCTAAATTCCATTTATCAGAAAGAAGAAAAAAACAATGTTGATGTAACAAAATAAAAAATCTATGACTTAAAAGCTATTTTATATTTTATCTTAAATGAGCAGATTTTAAGAGAATTCAATTGGATTTAAATTAGCAATAGAAAAAAATCATAATTGTTTCATAAAAAATATGAAGAAAAAAAATAGAAATTAGAAAATATTCAACACAAACATGATTAGAAAAGAGGTGTCTTTTATCCAATCATATTTCAGCCCACATTTTCAAAATATATGCACAAAAATTAATGTAAATTGAATAACAATATAATTAAGAATTGTATCAAACTGAAAGATAAATTATTAGGACCTGGGTAATTGAAAGAGACAATTAAATTGTAAATACTAAATATCACAGAGGTTGGATAGGAAAAAAAATGGAACTAAAATTAGAAAATGTATTTTGCAAACAGTCATAAAGGGCAACTACTTCTAAGGATATACAATAAAGATGTTTATAGCACTACTAAGCACTTTCTGTACTTCTGCAAATATTTATCGAAATAAACATAAGCTGACATTAACATGATGCAGGTAAGCTTCTATAATATTAAAATGTCCATGATACCGAAAACATATTCAGTCAATAAAGTAAAATTAAATCTACACTAGTTCAGCTAATTTTATTAAATTAATATTTTCACTTTATTGTTAATTAATAAAGAAAGAAATAGTTTCTAAGAATGAAGAACGTAATTGTATACTTCATGTCAACTAGGCAGTGCAGTAAAAACCAGTTTTGTAATGTTAATTCAAGGAATTTGATTTTTACCAATTCTGATCAGTGGCATGCAGAGAAAGGGCTAAAGGGGCAACAGTTTAAGGCATCTAGTTCAAAATAGGGCATCTAATCGATGACTAGATGTCACTAAATCTTTAAATTTATAGGTATTACTTTTTGTGATATTAATTTATTTTCATAATGGCCAATATAAAAGAAAATAATATAATTCCAAGAAAAAAAAATTTTAAAAAATTATAACACCAAAAAGATAGAAACACCTATAAAATATAATTATTTTTTACATGCATGAAAAAAAAATTATTTTTATCTGTAACAATTATATATTTTTCCCAACAACAAAAATTACATCTTACATTTAGATAAAAAGGTAATTAAAATAGGAGTTTATATTTTCTTAAATATTTTTTCTGGAATCTTTTCATGATCCTAAATGCAAAAAATTAGAAGTTTCCGGCACAATTTTTTCTGCATGCTGTCACTACTTAAAAACAACCTATTTGTAGAGAATAACCTCAACTTTTTACATTAAAACGGTAGTTCTTTTAATACTTTACATAATAGAGAATATTAAAACCAAATTTTATAATTACGTAAAGAACTGTTAAAATATAATTTAATTTTAATAATAAAATTAAATTAACAAATCACATACGAAACATAATACAATACCTTACAAATAACAGATTGAACTCACTATTGCAAATAACATACTAATTATAATAATCAAATATCGTTGAGCATGAATATTCAAATTGACTATTAAAATTCAATATGAAACTAAAATAAATAATATGAAAATATTTCTTATATTTAAGTTTCTTTCATTGTTAGTTAGTGCCATTGTGTTATGTTGTTAGTTAAGTTGGAAACTAAGTTTTTTTTAGCTTTTTAGGCTATTCCCAGAGTATTGAAAAAAATAGATTTTATCCAACACAGATTAAAATACAAAAGAACATCAAAAAGCACTCTTAGTGTGGTACCTTAAAATTTTGAAATGACCTCTAATTTATAATTTGTATCTATAGTTTTTTTTTTTTTTTCCTTCTTTTTTAAATTACAGTGCAATGTTTCTTAATATATAATTACAAATGTAAATATAGGTATATACACTATAAATAAAACAAATATTTATTTATTTTTAGCAAAGATCTGTTACAAGTTCATATAAGGGATACCAAAGTATATGCAATGTACCTCGGCCAATTTAAACAAGTTATAATATGCAACACTAGAGCTCGAATATGCCATCTAGCACTTAGTACATTAAGCTTTCAAGAGTTGGTTTCTTCCATCAATCATTGTCTAACAAAATGTGAAAATTCACCCACTAAAAAACAGCTTATCTAACTTGACAGCTTGCACAAGGAGAAATGGACAAATGATGAACTTTTTTTACCTCTTCACATTGACGACTGTAGTCTGTTCTAGTCATAGATTGCCCAGTAATGAGATTTTTATGAATAGGGTGGAAATAACTCCAAATCTTGTTTTAAATTATAAAATAAAGAATAAATTTTTAAATCTTTATGTTACACACAAAAAAATTCTAATGCATAATGAAATTTAAAATTTAAATAAAATTAATGATTTTGAGAGCAAATCTATAATGAAACTGAATGCAATGCTAATTATTAAATATGCAATTAATTCATTTCAGAGTGAGATATGAATACGTCTGGGGCCGAATATCATGCAAATTTTAACTATATAAGTAGACAACATAGCTACAGGCTTATTTTTACAAAAAGGAAGGCACATTTATATGGATGAAAGAGCAGGCAGGACAGGCCAACCTTCTAAAAACACTTAGGGAGAACACTATTTATTTACATCACATACTTACATCAAATAATTTTTCTTCATCCTCACTATCATCTTTAAAACGTGGATAAGTGTGTTCAAATAATTCCCCATCATCTTCTGGTTCCTCTTTTATTTCTATATCTCCATTTAACTATTAAAAAAATAATCTTACATCAGTCATAGTCAAGTGCATTTGGTTATACAATATTAAAGGACAGGTGTGTTGTGAGTAAATAAAAACAAGACAGGAAGAAAAATTATTTTGATGTTTCTGAATATAATAAGTTGCAAACATTTTAAATTTTAAATGCATTCTTCACAGCTATTAAAAATTAGAAAAAAATTATGATCATATCAATTTTTTGTCTAATTTTGAACCAATTTCTTCTCATGTTATTAAATGAAAAAGTCAAGCCTAGAAATGAGATTAGCATGTAGTTTTGCTAAAATCATAATGCTTTAAATGAAGGTCATGGTTGTGCTTTAACTAAATTTTGCAAATTAATTTAAATTAACATTTTCAGAGCAAAATATATTTTCTTTAATACATTACAAAAAATTAAAAAAATTAAAATATGAAACAAGGACTACAGTTTTTAATTTTGCAAAAAAAAATACAACAAAAATGTTTTCACAGTTATTTTGCATAAAGAAAGAATATTTTTTTAAACATTTTTTTTCCTAATTTCCTTAAGTTAAGTCAATTATAAAAAAAAAGTTTTATCCTAATTATTATGGTTGTCAAAAAAACTACTTTTAGAGAGTAATTTTTTTTTAAAAAAAAGTTTATTTTAATTAGCTTTATCAGCATTTATTCTAATTGGTATCTATTAAATATAACCAACTATACAATTTTAAATAATCAGCTAACGATTTCTAAAAATTAAAGAAGTAAACAAAAACGAATTACGTGTTACTGTATATTTGGCTTAGGCTTATTCTTTCTCATCTAAAACATTTAAATTCTCTATGGAAAACTGCATATAGATAATGTATATAGATTGAAATATTTATTATTCGTTATGTACTAAATATTAGCTAATTATTATGTTCTTAAATTTTGTATATATTTAAATTTTAATGACATAGAGCCCCACCTTACTTATTAGCCCTAGGCCTTGTGACACCCTAATCCAACCCTAACAATTTATAAACCAATTTTTTTAATATATATTTTGCTGAATGGTCTATCGATCTTTAGCAGCAACATGATAAAAAATTTGAATATTAAATTTAACATTACGGATTATATTAAATGTAATTTTTTTTTTTTTTAAATCTTCTTATCCATTTTTCAAATGGTTATAGTGAATGGAAATTTGAAGAAAATAATCTTATCCTATTTGAATTAATATTCAGCTAGAACAAAATGTTGAACAAGCATTATCAAAGTTCTGTTATTTTAAAATCAGTCAATAAAGAAAAGCTTCTCAGTCATAATAGTTAAACTAATTTTGATATTAAATACCTCATTTGGTGACATGTATCCATATAATCCTCCTGTTACACAATCTTCATCTGATTCTTGATCAATTAGTGATTCATTCTCTTCAATGTCATCACCCTCTATTTCTTTTTGAAATGTAGCTAAATAATTTCTGATGTTAGTACCATCTTCAGGCTCAGAATTTAATACATCCATTCTATAAAAATAAGTGCATATTTATTAAAACAAGCTTACATTACCTAAGTAAAGACTACAAATCAACAAATATTAAAAATCTCAATTTTTTCTAGTACAACTATAAGTGATAAATATATGCAAATAAAAGCTATTAGATGTCTTTCTTATACAGTAAAACCTCGGTACAACAATATTTTGGGAACCAAATAAATATATTGATGTAGAGGGATATATTGTTATATCGAGGGCCTACTTTGGGGACACAATAAGATTTTTTTTAACCGATTATCCGGAACGCTCGGCACCGTCACTATTCCGGATAACTGATTTTTCCAGTTTTCTGAATCGCTACAGAAAGCCGTTTTTTTATTGTTAAACCCAACTAAAAAAAAAAATTGGAAATAACATTAAAAGTAAGAAAAAACAATGAAGTAATGCACTAATGATTATTTGCAAAATGATGGTAAGGATCTTTAAAAAAAGAAAGAAAAATCGTAAAATCTTATAAGGAAAAAAAAATTTTTTTTTAAGAATGACGAGAAAATTTATCGAATTTCGTTCCGGTTTTTTGGTTTTCCGGTTTTCTGATTTCTGGATAACGGGTTCTGTACTACATTAACTATAAATGTATTTATATATTATGCAAAAAAAACAATTTGTAGAGTGTTAGTTATGGTTAAATATTGAAAACAATTTAAATATATTCAGCCAATAAGATCCTAAACATACCTGAAAACTGTTTTTATTGAAAGCAATCTGATACTTTTGTTTGTTTATTCATTTTTTTGACTGTCAAGTCAACTAAGTATGCATTGAGTCCAAAGCACGAAAATGATTTTCGTTTGTGAACCCACCCTCTACAGAAAAAATTCTTTTACAAGTGTTAACGTGATGCTTGTGGTCATTTGTGACTTATGATCAGCTTTTAACATGAAGGAAATGAAATAAATCAGATAAAAATACATCTGTAACTAGATAAGGGAGGCAATTCTAAGATTGGAAGCCTCTTGGGGTGGTCAGCAGTGAGTCTCTTGGCAGAAAAAATGGCAAAAGATGATAAAATAAGATTTTTTACATCATTTGAAAACCAATAATAAATTAAGAAAATGAGGTTCAAACTTGGATAAAAATCGTTTTTCAGGTGTTTATTGCATCAAGGAATACCGTAATATTGAGAGGAGCATGACATTAATTCATATGCAAGTTCATCAGAACCACAAAACATTATCGTAATAAAGGGAGTTATTGTTGTATTGGATATCGTAGCAGTGAGAGTTCAAGTACTTTGTAGTTAGTCTCAATGAATTTATAGAAGAAAGTGATTTCTTTTATTTATCAATATTATGAAAATGTCTATTTAAAAAAGTTTAAAAATTAGTAAAATGTTATTAAGTTTATGTTTTTATGTACAGTCATGTACTTATCATTATTTCTTCTTGTATACAATTTGTAAAATCTTTAACAAATATAGTGCAAGAAGATAAAAACTGTAAATAAATTTGGACAAACTTGCAGCAAGTGACAAAGTTGCTGCAAGTGACAAACTTTTAACTACATAGTCACAGAATTTCACACATTAATATGAAACAGTTAATTCATCCTAGAAAAATCTAATAGAAATTTCTATCTTTATAATATTACCTTCGAATTGTTAATATTTTTACTACATAATTTTGTCAGAAAAAGTTTTATAAAATAAGGTTTTATTTTGAAAAACAAATAATCTTTTTTTTTTAATAAGTGTCACATTTATTTTACACTATGGTAATTTATATTTGTAGAGAGATAAAAAAAAAAAAAACAAGATAAAACTAATAGACCATAAATTAATGAAATAAGCACTAACAAGGGGATATTTCCGTATCGTGATCTGTCTCGCCAACTACAATCGCCAAGATGCCAAATAGATTTTAAACTTGCAAATTTTTTTAAAAAAACATGTAGATGTTTGCCAAAGGGTGGCTACGAGTTAAACATTTCGAGTTGGTCCCTTTCCATGATTTTTTTTTAGTTTCTCGCACACCACTGCCCGGAAGTTTCCAAGACTTGGCGGTTATTCTGCCACAGATCACGATACGGAAATCTCCCCACTAACAATGTAGATGGTTAATTATAAAGCAAAAAGTATTTTTTATTATTATTTCATTAATTCAGATAAAACTGTTTATGTCAAAGGGAAATTTCTTAATTGGTAACTGTTCGCACAACTACAGTCGCCAAGCAACCAAAGGGATTTCAGACTTGCAAAAAAATTTTCAAAAATAAGTAAATTAGTAGAGCTTATATTTTATACCCTTCAGTAGAGCAAGTTATACCCTTCAAGTTAGTCCCTTTTTGTGATGTATTTTTTAGTTTTTTGCTAACCACTGCCAGGAAAAAGTCAAAATTTACCAATTATTTTAGTATACAAATCAGTATAGTAATCTTTCCATGATAAATACAAATTATAAACTTCAATGTAATTATCAAAATTTATGATGAACACATTCATAATTTTGCTAAAAGTTGTCACAATATGTTTCCCTCCAAATTACACAATCAAAATAAAATTATTTTAAATTTTTATTTAGTAAAGTACTGTAATATATCCAGCTCTTTTTGTTTCAGTTATCAAGTACAATATAAGGCTACAAAAAAGACAATAATAAAAAAAAAATTAGGCAAATTTCTTGGCTGTAATATAATAATGCTGTTAAAACAATTTAAATTCATACTTTATCTTTTCATTTTATACTGAAAGCGTAGAAAAATGTCTCTATGCTGTGTAAATTGTTGCCCTAAAGAATAAGTGAACTCGTTAGGTTAAACAGCGTGATTTTAAAATGTTGAACATCACTTTCATTAGTAGGATTTTATTTGATCTCGCGTGATGCTATTAAGTTAGATTTAAGTTTTATGCAAAAAGTGAATTTTCAAAATATTAATATTTTATAGATGATCGTGTATCAATATGTAAACAAATTTTGTCCTTTCTGAGTGTTTGTAAATATTGGGTTTTTAAATTTATTGATTACAGAGTGCTCTAGCGCTGAAACATTGAATTACATGTTAACTTCTAATAGCGCCATCTCCAATCTGAAAAGCGCCATCTAGTATTACATAAAAATTGCCAATAACCATTACATTTAATAATTATTTTAAAATTAAGTATAATTACATGAAAACAACGTTGAAGTTATAAATTCTTACATAAAACCAATGCAAAATCCAAAAATGAGCTTAGTCAAGTGACAACGACAACTTCTCCATTACAGTTAAAATTTAACAGTTAAAAATTAATAATTGATTTTCTTAATTATTTTGTCACCAATAAAATCCAGTAAACAACATTAAAGAATTATAATTATTCTCTTATATTTATGAATAAAACTCACAATGCATCATATATTCTAAACGAAAATTGATCGCCAAAAATTATTATCTTTTGACGTTATTAAACAATTATTCTCGATTTTCTGAATACGAAAAATTTGTGCTTAATTCTAATAAGAAAACTGTATGTTTTAAAAATTCAAATCTTTTAAAAAATTTACAAAATTTAAAAAGATGACGATGCGGTTTTCTTTTTAGTTTTTGCTTTGCTTTTTTTTGATGCCCCAGCTCAAGCTAACTTGATCGTTTCTGTAGTCGATTGCATCTCACTTTGTTTTAGAAATTTACTGATTGTGATTTGCAGATGTAGATTTGGCAATGGTGGAATTTGTTGTGTGTGTTCGCCATTACTTTTCATGAAATTTTTCATTAGATTTATCGATGTTGTTTTTTGTACTTGATTTCAGAGAGACAAATTATATTAATAGAACATTACCTCTCCCTACTAAGAAAGCTTCAAAGCTGTTTGAAGCTTTCTGTGTAGTATTCATGGAACTATGAACCTGGACTCGTTGTCTTTTGCTTTGTCTAATATTAGTTATTCTGTGGCTAATTTGACTAAGAAGAACTTTAAGTCTAGTGTCCAAGAAATATCTAGAGTATGTATTTATTTAATTCCAAGTACGATCTCCCCATTCTTTGTGTAACTAGTCTTAATGGTCTTGGAATAAACAGTCGTAACTGATTTTCGAACTTATAAATATTGTACGTAATTAGAATGCTCGGTAAATAAGACAAATTATACTTTCTTCAGTTAGCGATTTAGTGTGTTAATTTTTCTTTTGGAATTAAGCTTTTAAAATACATAAGAATCTTAATCTCGATATCTTTCCGATAGCAAAGTCAATAAAATTTGATTGCTTTTTTCTTGTATTATATTTATTTACATTTAATCACACATTTCAAGTTTTTACAACAAATGTTTTAGTATTTCGTTCAAGCATATTGCAAATATTTTTGGAAATAAATTTTGATGTTCCTGTTTGCTTCCAATGTCCAAATAATCATTCCATTTAAAGCCGAGAGTTCTTCAATATTTATTATAAACTATCTGAATACCATGATGTGATAAAAGTAAATAATGAATTAATCGGTATTGATAAACTCTACGGAATTATGCACACAACTATATTAAAACTTTAATAACTCCTACTTATAATTTGTTGCCCATATGTATGCTATCAGATTACACAAAATGGGGGGTTTTTTTGTAAAATATCATCAAAACAAAGATTATCTGTATTCAGAGTTATATTGAAATCGTACCTCTCAATAAGGGACACAGCAAGGTACTTTTTCCTAATTATTTGCTTTAATAGAGGGTGCCCCTAATATAGAGAGTTAATAATAAGTAAAAATATGTATGCTATCAGATGAAACAAAATACTTTTTTTTGTAAAATCTCATCAAAACAAAGGTTATCTGTATTCAGAGTTAAATTGGAATAGTACCTCTTAATAAGGGACACAGCAGGGTACTTTTTCCTAATTAATTGCTTTAATAGAGGGTGCCCCTTATAAAGAGAGTTAATAGTATCTAAAAATATGCATGTATAAAAATATGTATGCTATCAGATTAAACAAAATACTTTTTATTTTGTAAAATCTCATCAAAACAAAGATTATTTGTATTCAGAGTTAAATTGGAATAGTACCTCTCAATAAGGGACACAACAGGGTACTTTTTCCAAATTAGTTGCTTTAATAAAGGGTGCCCCTTATATAGTGAGTTAATAATAACTAAAAATACGCAATTTAATTAGTTTTCATTTGATTTTTATTTACCTAGTCTGCAAGATGTTGTATATCTACCGAATTTTCTGTTGTTGTTGCTTATCCCCTTGGTCTAGAGCCCTAAACCAAGTCCAGAAGATCATGTCGCATCAGAAAATCATAGACATTCTCTCCATCACCCAGTTACCTCACAGAGGCACCAATTACAATAGGCATAAGTCTTTTCTTTCGCTCTGAAGGTCAAACACTTTATATGGCTCTTCCTAAGTCTTGACAAAACTCCGAATTTTCTTCCCCATATAATAGTTTTTAAAAGTAATGCTATATCATTACTTAAATTTGTGTAACCAATCATTTGATGCTTTGAAGTCCTGTAATCCCAGACTTTCCACAACTTCTTTTTACTAAATAATGTTCCACTTATAGAATTATTTTTGCGCTTATTGAACAAAGCTAATTTGACATGACTACCATGCTTCAATTAAAGTACAATTGTAATTAAACATACTTCAGTTTTTCCAAATTTAAATTTAGTAATTCACTTTGCTTTTACTTATGATAAATTCTTAAATCTCTTAAGCTAATTTTTTTTTCTAAGCCATAATTGATAAAATGTAGTAATAAGTACAAAATTATGCTTTTCCACAGCTTCTGCAAGAATTAATTATACAAATTTTCACTTAATCCACATTGGAATGATCTTTTGAAGTAACAATTCCTTATTTCTGAATGCTCTACTTTTCCTTTCTCATTGAATCCTACTTTTTTTTTTACCTTACCTTTAAAAATTCTAAAAATAGGAAGTTCTTTTTCATTGCACCATTTCTTATGCTTTTATCAGCATGCTGTTCATTTTTTCCTTAAACAGCAATTCTGAAAAAGCAACTCTGAAAGGGATAAATGTAACAAAATTTCAATTTATATTTTGCCTCCATATTTAAAAGTAATGACATTAAACCTTCAAAACCAAAGAAACAGACCAGCAAAATTGGGGACCTTAAATAAGGAAGTTTCTTATTGGGGATCTTCCTTTTCTTTTTAATTTTCCAATTTTGAATTATTATATCATTTTTATTGTGTTCAGAAGGCCTAATAACTAATTCTTATTATTAAAAAAAAATTTCTCTTAGTAGCAAGTGTTTATTAGAGAAATTTTATCATGCAGAGTCCTTAAAAAGTTGTTAGGTTAATGCCTTTTTTCAAGCGCTAGGTATAAGAATTTTTTTTCCTGATATTCTCTTATATGATGTACCAGAAAAGTAAAAAAAAACCTGCGTTTTTTCTAAAAAAATCGAATCCACTAGGTTTTTTTTCAGGGTTAGAATTTTTTCAAACTTATTTTTTCATTTATTTTTTTTTTTACTTTTTAGTCTTGGAATAAGTCTTGTTTTTTTTTTTTTTTTTTTTTTTTTTTTTTTTTTTTTTNTTTTTTTTTAATTATTAAAAAAAACTTTAATAAATTATGAGAAAGTATGAAATTTTTTTTAGTCTATAGTCTTGTAATTTTGTACTTTAAATAATTGTATTTGCATTTGAAATTTTTATTTTATTTTTTAAGAGCAGTGTCTGAAATGTTTGCACCTAGGACCTAAAGCCAAAAAATGTTTGAATCCCCAGTTCTGCCTCAGAAAATAAGCTAAAATTTCAACAATTTTATTACATATTTCAGAGATGATTGTGCTTCTGAAAAAAATCCAGATTTCCGGATTTTTCGCTAACAGTGATCCCGAAATTTCCGGAAATGCAAGGTTGAGAAGTTTTAAAAAATAACATTTATGTATAAGAATTCCTATATATTTTATTTTAAAATAATATTAGTTCTAGAATTTATAATTGGCATCTCTTTCATTTGTAAATTTTTTTTCTGGTAGAATAATGAATGTGATTAGAGACAAAAGTAAACTTATACATAATTATTCATTTAAGTTGTGCTGCATAGAATTTATAAAGAATTTCATGTTTTGAATGCATCATTAATTATTTTACTCAAGNATCCTACTTTTTTTTTTACCTTACCTTTAAAAATTCTAAAAATAGGAAGTTCTTTTTCATTGCACCATTTCTTATGCTTTTATCAGCATGCTGTTCATTTTTTCCTTAAACAGCAATTCTGAAAAAGCAACTCTGAAAGGGATAAATGTAACAAAATTTCAATTTATATTTTGCCTCCATATTTAAAAGTAATGACATTAAACCTTCTAATCAAAGAAACAGACCAGCAAAATTGGGGACCTTAAATAAGGAGGTTTCTTATTGGGGATCTTCCTTTTCTTTTTAATTTTCCAATTTTGAATTATTATATCATTTTTATTGTGTTCAGAAGGCCTAATAACTAATTCTTATTATTAAAAAAAAATTTCTCTTAGTAGCAAGTGTTTATTAGAGAAATTTTATCATGCAGAGTCCTTAAAAAGTTGTTAGGTTAATGCCTTTTTTCAAGCGCTATAAGAATTTTTTTTCCTGATATTCTCTTATATGATGTACCGGAAAAGTAAAAAAAAAACCTGTGTTTTTTCTAAAAAAATCTAATCCACTAGGTTTTTTTTCAGGGTTAGAATTTTTTCAAACTTAATTTTTCATTTTTTTTTTCTTTTCAGTCTTGGAATAAATTTTGTTGCATTAATAAATACTATTAATTTAATTAATAATTGTAATTCTGAATACATTTTATTGTCAATGTCATTTACTTTGATAAATTAGCAATAATATTTTTAATTAAATAGTAATAAGGATCCAAGTACCTTTGTAAGTTACCTATTCTGTTTTAGAATTATTTAAAACTACTATACGAAGAAAAGAAATAAATTATTTTATATTATTTGAAAAACATCAATTTTTCAAAGTAAATTTTTAACAGGAAAAATGTATTTATGCAATGATGAATTGCAATTTTTTTCTAACTGAATTACTGTGTCCTATGTTCTGTGCAGTAAAAAAGAGTTTCTAGGATAAGAAATACCTCAGAATAAAAATTCTAGAACAAGTATTTCTCCAGTTAAAAGGCACAAGGTGCTATATTTTAAAAGTATAATTTGAAATTGTTATATCATTTCATCCAGTTCCTGAAATTTGTATTTAAAATATCTTTTTTATAAATTATTTTCCCATATCATTGAATTGTGATTCTAAAAATATTGTATCTTGTTATAATAATAGTTTCAATTCGATTGTGAATTAGCATCTCAATTTTTTGTTTATACAGCTCTGCAAGATGTAAAATAACAAATAAAAATAAAGAAAAATTTCTTAAAAATGTTTCTGAAATTCACAAACACATGTATAGCAAATAAAAACCAGATATTAATTTTATAAAAAAAAAAAAAAAAAAAATTGACATGTTTGCTTTAAATGCTTATTTCAATACACCATTTCTGAATATTTTTGCACATAATCCAAGGTTCAAGGTTGCTTAAATTTCACTGTTATTTACCATGCTAGGACCAATTTTAAATTTTTAAGTATTGTAAAAAATATACATTTAAGTTTTGCCAGTTAGATTAGTCATTTCTTTTTTTTTTTTTTTGCATTATCATTTATTTGCAAAACAGAAAACCTTAGTCATGGGCATTTCTTTTCTTTTTTTACATAATGGACAAAAACATTTATTATAGCATATAAAATTTTCATCATAACTAGGACATAAATTGTTCTGTAGGGCAATTCCATGTGAACAGGGACATGAACATTGAAAAAAAAATCTAGTAATTTTTCAATATATTGTGTGAATCGTTCATAACTGTTATAACTGAGCTGGTTACGACTTATTTTGTGCAAAAGTTTTTTTTTTTTTTAATCAAACAAATTTAACATTCATTAAATGTATTATTTCTTTTAATTGAAATGCATTTAGTACCTATATTTTATTTTATGGCAATTTAAAAATATATGTTTTATAAATAAAATATTACTTGATGCTTTAATACAAATAATGTTATTAACTTGTTATTCTTGCATAAATTATGTGTGTAAAAAAAAAAATTGAAAAATGGTAAAACTTAAGTGATAATCAGAAGGCAATGTTGGCAAGTATGCACATACCAGTTTTTAGATCAGAGAGCAAGCAGATGGTGCTAGTAATCATTCAGAATCTATAAAATACTGTTGAACTCTGTGAACTTTCCTAGCTTTATATATACAAAGAATTAAAACTTCACATTAGATATGCCCCTACTTAAAACTTGTTTTTTTTTTTTAAATATTAAAAAAAACTTTAATAAATTATGAGAAAGTATGAATTTATGTAATAGAAAGTTGAAATTTTTTTTAGTCTATATTCTTGTAATTTTGTACTTTAAATAATTGTATTTGCATTTGAAATTTTTTTTTTATTTTTTAAGAGCAGTGTCTGAAATGTTTGCACCTAGGACCTAAAGCCAAAAAATATTTGAATCTCCAGTTCTGCCTCAGAAAATAAGCTAAAATTTCAACAATTTTATTACATATTTCAGAGATGATTGTGCTCCGGAAAAAAATCCAAATTTCCGGATTTTTCTCTAACAGTGATCCCGAAATTTCCGGAAATGCAAGGTTGAGCAGTTTTAAAAAATAACATTTATGTATAAGAATTCCTATATATTTTATTTTAAAATATTAGTACTAGAATTTATAATTGGCATCTCTTTCATTTGTAAATTTTTTTTCTGGTAGAATAATGAATGTGATTAGAGATAAAAGTAAACTTATACATAATTATTCATTTAAGTTGTGCTGCACAGAATTTATAAAGAATTTCATGTTTTGAATGCATCATTAATTATTTTACTCAAGAAATTTTCAGGATTTTTTAGTTGGGCTCACAATAACCCCTGATATTTATGCTCACTTTTGAGTTTCAGATATTAATTGCAAACTTTTATTGTTGAAAAAAACATTTATTAATATTATTAAAAGAAACATGTTGGTTTCATTATATTAAAAAAATATATATATTAGATATTAATATATCTTAATTTTTAGAAATCAGAATGAAAATAAATAGTTACTTACCTAATTTAAAATAAAATTAAATATGTCAGCCAAGTACAAATTATCTATATTTATAGAATCATCCAGAAATCGAAAATGAAAATAAAAAATCTTCTTTTTTTATTTTAAGCATTTAAAAAGACTGGGGAAAAAAAGATTTATATTAAAAAAAACTAATAGTCCTGGAAAAATTTAGAGGTCAAGAGCGAGCGCTCCAGCTTCAAGCCCCTGGTTTGCTCACTTTTTATTTATTTCATATTTTCTTTACAGATGAGGAGTTAGTGAAAAAAATATAATGAGTGTTTAATAATTATTAAAAGTGTTAAGTTTTTCTTATGTCTCATAAATTCTTAAATTAAAAATATTGTATTTTTTAGCTTGTAGCCCATCACGGGTTAGAGGCTGAAAGGCACCTCCTGCGTTGTCTTTTTTCTCATGTAGATTTCAGTGGTGATGGTAAAAGTAGTGGTAAAGATTTTCATCAGGTATGTAGTCTTGTAAACATATTTAAATTTTTTTTTTTTTAAGTAGTTAAGACATCTCAACTTAGAATTTTTTTTTTTTATTCTTTGTTATGTCCAACTTTTTATGTCAAAGCAGAAGTGGCGTAGATGTGGTATAGAGGACACTTAAAAAGTATAAAATTTTGATTTTAAAAATAGCCCTTGATATTGGTGTGCATAAAAAAAGGAGAGAAACTAGGTGGTACATTCTTCTATTAATGTAGACTATACTATGCCACTGTAACAAAATATAGAAATTATCAAGTATTTGCTCACAGCTGATTTGTAATTGTACTTAATTTTTAAAACTGTTTTTAAAGTCTTAATTTTCCATTTTTAATTCTTTATTTTTTTATAAATATTAAAGCTCTTAAAATATTCTTATTTTTGAAATTTTATCAAACAATTTTTTTCTCCTTAGATAATGATTAATATCAAATTAATGAAATGTTGTCTTTTTTAGAGCTTCATGATCTTTTTCACTAATGATAAGAACTTTTATTTCTTCTCTCTGTTGATAGTAAATCCAAGTAAAACATTATGTGAGAGTAAAAATTCTAACTTCAGTTTTTTTAACATCTTAAAACCTAAGCATAATAAATTAGAAAGAATTCCTAAAATTAGTAATGAAAATGTGTAATAAAAATTTTAAAAAAGGAAGTGTGATTTTTCCATATTATTAAAATTATAGACAAAAAAAAAAAAACATATAGTCTGAAACATTCCTATATTATGAAATTTATGTAGGAATTCTAGTATGAAAATTTTTTATACAATATGAAAAATCAATACTTGCTTTTAATTTTTTTTCTCTGTATTAATTAATATACATAAATATAGTTTAAATTTCTAAAATGCTGTGAAAATAATATTATTTAAATCCTTAAAATTTGTAAAGCTTTTTTTCTCTAATATACTGTTCTTTTTTTTTTTTTTTTTTTTTTTTTTNTTTTTTTTTTTTTTTTTTTTTTTTAGATTAGTTTTAAATTTGGAAGTGTAAATGAAGGCTTTCAGATAGTAAATGGTTAACAGTGACATTTTCTTTTTTTATATTTTGTTTTTCAAAATGAATTCTTTGTTTTTTTGTTTTTCGTTGAAAGTTAATAAATAGTCTGTGTCTTCGAATAATCTTATAAAATTAATTTTACAGTAAAATAAAAAAATCTATTAAAAAGAAACCAAATTAACTTGAGAACCATTCTCATTTTTCTTTTCAGTTTGAAATATTTTTCTTAGTATTAATTTATACTAGATTCCTCCACTCACAATCTCCAGTTTGCTTTTCATTCATTGTTTTCAAGTTAATACTTTCAAAAAAAAATAAACTTTAGAACCTAAAAAAGTTGTGTATATTTATTAATATTATAATTATTGTTTAAAGTATTAAATGTGTATAATTATTAGAATTTTATGCAAGAAAATTTTGTTAGTCATTAGTTATATTGTAATTATTAATTATATTCTAAGTTCGTAAATTTTAATATTTGTTTTAGTATTTAAAATTTATTTTTATGTTTTAGACTCAATTTTTGATTCAGGAGTGTGCATCTATTTTAAATAAACCAGATTTTGTATCTACGTTTTGTTACTCTATTGATTGCCCTCTTCAGCAGCAAAAGGTATGTATATCATTTTGAAAGATTTTAAATTAATGAAATGCTGATATGTGTAATATTCAATTTTTAATAGTTGTATAATGAATAAATTAATGATTTTAGATCAAAATTATATTAAATTGCTTCATAATGCAGAAATAAAAATTTATATTTACAATAAATCTATACATAGTTATTGTCTCAAAAACAAAGTTGATCCACTGTTTCTTGTCCTTTCTGCATCAAGGAATTCATTTAATTGTATATTAAAACTACACAAAAAAACTATGGTGTTTCATAATAAAATTACAAAAATATCTTTGTTAATTTATAGCATTAGTACTTCTAATTTCTAAATTTCACTTTAAATTGAAAAAAATTTAGTAATCTTTGCCAGAAATTATTAATATTGAGCAGTGTGAATCTTGACTTTTACTGATGTGTCCAAAATCTTGCTACCTTAGTTTAGATGTATCACTTCACATTTTTTAGACTAAAAGTCATATATTTAAATTTTTATTTTATGATAAATTGTAAACTCTAATGATTCCAAATCAATAATATTTTTAATGACAAATAGATTGTTATAAAAAATAACGAACTTTTGTCAGAACATTTATTCTTTATCATTACAATTTAAATTTTTTATTCTTTGCTGTTAAGAATTCTATAGTATCAAGTAATTATTTTCTAAGCTAATTTTTGGAAAATTATTTAAAAAATTAAAAGTGATGTCTACCTTAAGGAAATTTTATTTCTAAAAGAGACCTACTCTTTCCTTTTGATTGCATTTTTCAGCTAGCTCTGTTTTTATCTTTTTTTATTATTGTAGCTGTTTAAACTAATAATTTTGTATATCGATTAAAAATTTAGTAAACATTTTCTTCAGATCATTTTTTTTTTAAATTCTTTCTAATTCTACATAATTATTCTCTGTATATGATAACTTTATCCGACATTTCTTCAGATTTTGGTGGAAATAGAAAATTTTTAATTTGGTATCATTTTAATACTTCTATCAACCTTTATTCAATGGTGAATTATTCTTTCAATATTTTAAAGAATGCAAATTGTACAAATGTATATTTTTAAATGTCTATAATTTTCATTTTTAAAATAATAAAAAATGAAATAAAATGTTACTCCTTTCAGAGTTTAAGACCGTCAGCCAATCTTTTACCTCAGTTGAGTAAAGTTCTTAAATTATCTAGTGTTCAAGAAATTGCTTTTGGATTGGCACTTTTGAATTCATCTATTTCTGAACACATAATTCATTCAGTAGATTTTTTAAAACAGAAACTCTCTGACTTTATCAAGCATATTTGTGAAAAGGGTAAGAATTTTTCAAGTATTAAATTTAGTTATTATTTTTAATTGTATTTTCCCCTAAAACTTGAATCTTATTCTAATTGCAGACTCATCGGGTCAAGAAGATATATCAGACCTACCCCCTACAGTTTTGCATTTGTTACTCAGTAACCTATATTGTGGGACTCAAGATCTTGGAATCTCACGTGATCTTAAAGAGTCATTTGCAAAAACTTTAAATCAAGGTAACTTGAATTATAAGTTAATTTTGTGTCAATATAACATTTCTTGTTGTACTTTTCGTTTTCTTTCTTAAGACTAAAAATTTATTACATTTAAATAATAAATTTTTTTTTAGACTATTCTGACAAAATACCATTTTATTTATTGCCTTATTTACGAGCACACAAATTAGATCCACAAATGGAGCCTGTTGGAAATTCTGCTAAACCTGTAAGTATCCTTCATTCTATTTTATTTATTTTTGCCATTAAATTGTTACAATATTCTCATTTACTAAATTATTAGATAGTAAAGGAACTATACAAATTATAAGAATGTTGAATTTATGTTTACATTCACGCATTTTTAGTTATATATGTTAATAAAATTTGAAGTTGCTGAAAAATTAATAGAAATTGGGGACTATCTATATTATTCGATATTAGCTTGTGTCTATAAAGGTGAATGAGGGCCCGTACACAAATTAATTTTAGTACAAATAGCTAAATAAATATTTCTGTTCGACAAATTTTTTAAACAAATGTCTAAATGGGTTTGTATAAACTGAAGTTTGTTTATATTTACAAAAATATTATTGTGATTTAAATGCATGGTAATGAATTGTGGAAAGGGAGGTACAATGTCTGAGAATATTTTGTTTTGGTGGTGCTAACTTTTAAAATTGAATTGGGATAGTTTAAAAAGTTCTTTCTATTAAGCTGAAAACTTTATAAGCTCTTTTTTAATAGTGACATAACTATCGTTAATTTGTATTTGTTTACAACAATCATCCCATCAACAAAAAATAAATTAATAAATAAATGAATGAAAATTTCCTTGATTAACACTTAATAGGCATATTTTTTAATTACTTTTTTTCTTCTTTTCTTTCTAAATTTTCAATTTATAACATTTACATGTATTTTTGTTTATTGTTTGCTAACTGGAATCTATTTGTTTATTAGTTTCTATCATACCTTTCTTTTGTTAACAAAATAATATGTAGAATATCAGTATTTTTCTGTACCCAAGAATTATAGTACTATTTTCTTAGTTTATTTGCATAACATGACTAGTATAAAAACTAGTGAGATAAAAAAAAATAAAAAAAAATCTGTTCTGGCTTGTATTGCTTTTTTGAAATAAAATAAGTTTCTTTTTAAAAAATTTCGACATTAAATTACTATTAACTGAGTGAGATATCTATTTACCTATTGTTTTTCCTGAATAAACAAAGAAGTTGTGAATTGAGATTTGTTCATACTGTTTGAGGATTTTTTTTGTTTTCTTTCTGTTAGTTATTTTAATTTTTTGTTTAAAAGAAGGCTATGATAAATATTTTTAGTTGCAATATTATTTTTATTAGGTATAAGAATCATAATTATTTAGGGTGGACAGGACCTGGCCTACCTCAAGCTGCTGATAACTCGCATTACCAATTCATTATATTTAAGAAATAAATAGAAATTTGTTATGAAATGGAAAGTAGCATGAAAATGTTCTAATTTATTAAAATATTGGGTATATGCTACAATATTTTTAGTGCAGTTCTGACTGGGTTTTGTGAAGTGTTCTTTACCTCAATTATTTAATATTCTTACATTTGTTTCCTTACTTTTCATCTCTCAAGGCTTGTAGAAATTTGCAACTATAATTTTGTAAAACATACTATGTTGTATTGTTAACCGACGACTAAACTGTGATATTTTCGTGATTAAAACATTGCACAGATCCCGTCAAAATTTCTTTTATCTTTTGTGAAATTATGCTTTCAATTATTAAAATGAGGCGTAGCAAAGCTGATGTAATAATTATGATATGTCTTAAGAATATGTTGGACATTCTTCTGATACTGAACTTATTTTGTTACTAGGATTCATTAAAAACCCTTTTTAAAAATGTAATACATTTTGTTGCATTTATTTCCATCTGTGTGTATAAATTATATTTCTAACTTTATATTTTTACATTTTTAGTCAGAGGATTCTGTTGTGGAAATGATTCAAGAAATGGGCTACAATTTTACATCTAGGTATTTAATCATTGATGTTACTGTAATTTTTTTTTTTTAATTATCGTTAAAAAAAAAGCTTTTTGACCTATACCTCTTTCTTAATCCTCTGTTATCTGTAACTGATTCTTAACTAGCATTCCCTTTAAAAAATTGTGTTAACACATTGCTTTAAATTTAAAAAAATAAAATACAGCTTCCTTCAATTTAATGAGCATAATTTAAATCATATGTCTGCAAAAAATTATATTTTAAAATTATAAGGATTAAGTTTATAGCTAACATCTTATATTTCCTCTATATTATATTTCTGTGTTAATATTTATATAAACTGATGCTGAGCTTTTTTTTTTTCTAGCATTGAAGAATGTCGAAACAATTTGATCCAAATTGGGCTTCGAGAGTTCACTGCTGCTATTGTAGCTCGTATTTTATCTATGATGTCAAGGTCGCATTCTGGACTTACAGATGCTATGCCAATTCAAGTAATCTTTCATTTCTAGTACTTTCCTTTTGAAAGGATTTTTTCAATTTGTTGTTACCTTACTTTACAACAACTTTTTTTTTTTTCGAAGTTCTTTGCCATTAACTGCAATTCATTTGTTACTTCTTTCTTTTTTTCTAAATATGTTTTATAAAATTTCATAAAATTGGCGAAAAGTATCCCACAAAATTTCTTACTAGATTTTTTCAAATTGATTGTTTGTTGAAGAATTTAGTAACCTTATTAAATAATGAAACGAGCTTCTCTTTATTTTCTTCCGACTTCTTTCTATTTTTAAATTCTTTTTCTATTGCTATGAAATGTTTCAAGCTAGAATGTTACAACTCTCTAAAATTAGTATTTTTTATTTTTATTATTATTCTGAATTATGGATATAAGGCTAAATTAAAAATGATAANTTTAAAAAAAGGTACCCACTCAAAGCGTAATCTATGGGATATTTAGCCATGATATTTCAGCTATACTAAACTATTTCACTTACTATAACATTATTTAAATATGTTCAGCTGTTTTCCCACCAATTAAAACTAATAAATATAGTTAGCCCTATATAGCTCACAAAAGAGCACAGTAATTGTTTCCTTTTAATATATTGTGTATAATAGTTCAGGGAAAACACAGGGAATTTTTTTTTCCAGATTTGAGTGGCAGCCCTGTTCTTTCTTTTTTTCTAAATATGTTTTATAAAATTTCCTAAAATTGGCAAAAAGTATCCCACAAAATTTCTTACTAGATTTTTCCAAATTGATTGTTTGTTGAAGAATTTAGTAACATTATTAAATAATGAAAAGAGCTTCTCTTTATTTTCTTCCGACTTCTTTCTATTTTTAAATTCTTTTTCTATTGCTATGAAATGTTACAACTCTCTAAAATTAGTATTTTTTATTTTTATTATTATTCTGAATTATGGATATAAGGCTAAATTAAAAATGATAAAAAGTTTCATAAACAGAAAAAAATAATCATTAAGGACTTTTTTTTCATTGTCAATTTAATTAACCACCAAAGGATAGTACTGGAATAAATTTAAATTTGTGCAATATATTTCTAATATTGGCTTGAGTAAAAAATATTTGTTATATTATGATGTCTAGCAGTTTAAGTGTTGTTAAGAACAAATTCAGCAATTTAATTTATTTGAATATGCAAGACCAAACTGTTCCTTTTCGTCAGATTTTGCTATTTTACTTCTGTAAAGGGGCGAAAATGTGCATTTAGCTTGTGAAAAATTTTATTGCTGTCCAAGAATATCAGTGCCAAAACTGGGTCGTGAAATTCTGCACCTGTAAGTTTGAGTTGAAAAGGAACAACTAGTTCATTACAATTAATTTGCTTTAATTTTTCACTTTAATAAAGTACTCAAAACAAAAAGGTTTAGTTTACGTCAGAAAAAATATTAATAACTAGTTGTTTAGCATATTTTATATCAGTTAATAAGATACTGCAGTATTATAATTAATCAAAATTGAAATGTGGTTATATTTTTCAAGTTTTATAATATTACTTTCTCATCATAGTTGGCCAGATTGCCCAATGTGGGTCAATGCCTTCCTCCGCAGATGCCTCCATTACGATTTATCTTTGATCTCAATTTATTTGAATACATGTTCAATACATGTTTGCTTTGTCGTTTATTGCTCATTAATTCATATGTGTATAATATATTTTGATTTAGAATATGAATAACAGCAACATGATTATGTGGAATGATAAGGAGAAAAATGATAATGCTCAACAGCCATCTTGGAGTGTTGAAATATTCGTCCAAGTTGTTCGTGAAATGGTATTTATGATCCAAATTTTAAAATGAATTTTAAAGAAAAATTAATGCTAGTATTATTTTTAATCTTTTATTACTCTTTTTCTAGTCACCCACTTTGGATTGGAAAGATGTTGTGTTAGAGCTGGATAATCCTACTTTTCTTTTAAAAGATCGGAAAGGGTTAAAGTTGTTATGGCAGGGTTTAGCACTTGGACTTAGTCATGAAACATTCCCCATGGATAGAATGTACCGACGTTGGAGACATGCTGAAGGCCAGGTTTGTAATTAATTTTATGGTTTTTTTTTTCTAATTTGTGAAATGTTCTGTTATTCCTTTTGTCTCTGTACTTTCATTTTGTATATCTCTGTACCTAAGATTGGTTTAATAACTAGCTTTTACCTTCTGGTGTCAAAAACTAAGGAAATCCTAGAATCCAAAACTTATTCATTGTAATTTTAGAATTTATGTATTTTTTTTTAAATGATTCCTATACATGATTATACATATACCTAGGATTAGCCTAAAAGCTAGTTTTTACCTTTCTTTTATCAAAAACCAATGAAATCCTTGACACCAGAACTTAATTTCCGTCATTTTAGTATTTATGTATTTAATCTATCAATTTGTTAAACTGATTCCTATCCATGATGAACTGTCTCTATATCCTAAGTATTTTAGGCTCGTAATTACTCTTACAGATGCAAAATTTTGAACAATTGAAGATATGTTGTACACCTTGAAACCTAATTTTCAAATTTTGAGTATTTTTTCATGTATAATCGTTAGTTTTGTTTCGTTTTTCGATTTCATGTTTTTTAGCAAATAAAAATGTAGAATCCATTCTATAAATCTTATGTTTTCAATAATTGTCCACAGTTTACCTCAGAGCAACAAATTTTTCAAATTTCTGAAAATCCACAATTTATTGATTATCCAAAGTTCTATTTGGTCATTTTTGTAAAATGTAATGTTATCTTGCATTATTACTCATGTTTCCAAATGTGTGAAAGTTCCTACACTAAGCATTCGTGTAAATGATTATGTAACTCTAGATAACTACATGCTCATGAAATACAATTTTTACTAATTTTGCAAAATTAGGATATTACCATAGCTCTTACATGTCTTCAAAGGTTGCAAAAGTCAAATTGTATCACTTATCTGTATTTCAGTAATCTGTAAGTAATGTATCCTTAAGCTAACTGATGTGTTTAATATAAAAGAACTGTAGAAACTTGATTATACACATATAACCTGTATATATACATAGATAGATATTACAGCACCCACAAACAGGGGTCTTCAAATCTCTATCACCGTGGCACCTTAAAAATTGTAGATTTTGTTTTCAATCTTAGTTAAGCTTCATTTGTTTATTTCCTTTTGAACCTAGAAATTCAGATATTTACAGGTTCCCAAAAATTTGCCCGGGCACCTAAAAAGTCTGCTTTTTTTAACACCTATGTTATTTATACTTTTGATTTTTTATAAAAAATTGTATTTTTGCAATGTATTTCATACTTCAATAATTATTCTTTTTTTCCTTTACAGTTTTCATTCTTTCAACAAGTTTTAAACTGCCCAGACATTGTGTGCTTAACAGATTTTGCTCACCGTCCTGTTTTAACTGACGCCTTAAAAGCTCCTCCGGAAGATGATAATAGAAGTATTTCAAATTGGTATGTTTCATAATTTGATAGACTTATGAAGAAAGAACATTATTTATTCTAGGGTATTTGGCAATCTGGAAAACCTAAAATGTCAAGAAAAGTGGAAGAAATTTTATTCAATAATTTGAAAAACACCTTGATTTTCTTATGGCCTTTTATTTTTATTAATTGCTTAATAACTTTGCTGTATACATTTCAGTTAAAATTTTCTGTTGCGTACTAAATATAACATGTATAAAATAATTATTAAAAGTATAAATGTAACACATGTAATGGAATAACTTTTCATAGTTTTATGATTGGTTTTTCATCTTTTTCATACTAAGAAATTTTAAATTTCTCCTAACCTTGACTTTTAATTATTTTCATCGGGTTTCACTTAAACACTTTGCCTGTAGCATATATGAGTGCCCATAAGCAGAATATTTTCAAATGTTCTGTAACGGAACTTATTAATTTATACAAATGTTCTACAAGCATTTTTCAGCGAAAAAAAGTCAAAATACAAGGTTAAAATACAATATTTTCATTTTACTTTACGTTAAAATACAATATTTTCATTTATTAAAATACAGGATCATACACAGATACACTACATTATTTTTTGAACCAAGGCAAACATTCTTGATTTGTTACTTTTTCAAGCACTTTTGAAGTACAAAATTCTGTTGATGATGAATTAACAGGGTTCCCACGGTCCTTGAAAGTCCTTGAATTTTTTTTTGCTAAATTTAGGTCCTTGAAAGTGCNATAATTTTTAAAATTGGTCTTAGATTAAGGTCCTTGAAAATTTTGTTGAGGTCCTTGAAAAGTCCTGGAAAGTCCTTGAATTTCAATCTCATCATAGAGTGGGAACCCTGATTAATAAAATGCCTATGATATGAAGGTCCGAACATTAAAATAAGCGCTGCCTTAAAAATCTTTTGAATTGACAAGTGCACATTAGCAATCACAAACATTCGCTGGTCTGTTGTTCCAACTGCTATTAAACCTTCAGGTCATTATGGTCTACAGAAGAAGGTATGAGATTAGGATTGGGGATTGTTATGCAAAGCTGCTGGAGGCGGGGGAGGGGTTCGCAGGAAAACTCTGTCACTTATTCAAGATACAAATTGTTCTGCAGGACTTTGTTTGTTCTGCGACGTACGTCACAGTTTTAGGCACTTTCTGCTTCTGGGTATCAGTGTATCCTCTAGAAACATACATAACAGTTATCAAGCATTTATAAAGAAAAAAGTCTAATGGACTTTTAAAAAAATCATAACTGGGTGTAGTACATACATATTCCTCATCACCCTAAATTGGAGCATTATGCTTTTATCCTCGCTCTCCATCTCACTCTGTGACCAGGTATTCTGCCTCTCTCCATGTCTTTCCTATTGTTTTCATTTCACCTAGAATCACCTTAGTAGTAGTGACAAAATAATGATTAAACATTATGAAGATTTTTTTTTTTTTAGCATTTTTAAAATTTTAAATTCCTTAAATAATGTCTGAAACAAACATACTCATTATAATAAGTTACATACAACCTCAACCTGAAAAGAAATTTGTTTCGTGTAAACTTTTTTTTTTTTTAAATATGCTTTTACTTTGATTTTTAATTAAACGTGTAATTTTCTTTGTAGGAAATCATTAGATTTAATAGAAACACTGTTGCATTTATCAGAGACATTACATTTATCTGAGACGCCTTTCTTCAAAGATGAGCTTTTCAAATTTCCTCTTTCACATTGTCCCGATCTTCTTATTTTGGGCCTTATCCAAACGTCAGTAAGTAAAAATTGATTATTAAATGGAAATTTTTGTTTTCATTTTAATTTTTCTAATTATTGTATTTATTTTGTTTAGTTAATCTTCTGATTGTTAAATAAATTCAAATTTGTCAAATATTGTTGTATTTTAGTATTCATTCCTAAACATTTAACATGTGTATTTTGCCTTTATGTAATAAATTCTTAACAAATTTTAAATTGCTATTATAGACATTAAAAATTTTAAAAAAAAAATTTTTTTACTTTACAGCGAGCCATTAATCAGATGCACAAGGAGCTATTGTTAGCCCTGATACCTATATTTTTAGGAAATCATCCTAATTCTGCTATGGTTTTACACCTTGCCTGGCACAGTCAAGTATGTGTCGTTTTAACTTATGTTTTAACTTGATTTCAGTAAATGTGTAGAAATTCATTATGTTTTCCTCCTTAGAATAACTTGACAGCTGTAAGAAACATCATCATGCAATCTATGGCTGACTGGTATGCAAGAGGAGATGGGGATCAAATAAGGCTTTCAAGGATATTAGATGTTGCACAAGATTTGAAAGCATTATCAATGTTGTTGAATTTAAATACGTTTATGTTTGTCATAGATTTAGCCTGTTTAGCTTCTAGAAGAGAGTACTTAAAACTAGATAAGTGGCTTAGTGATAAAGTTAGAGAACATGGTGTAAGTATAATTTTTTTTTTTTAAATAGCATTTTGTCATTTGTGATTACATTATTTCTTCAAAACTAAATAGACTTCTTTTTTTTTTCTTTTTTTTAGATATTATGATTTTTTTTATTTTGTGCTCCTTTTTATATATTTTTATTTTTCAATCTTCTTACTGCTAAATATCTCACGTTTTCTGTGTTCTCACTATCAGACTAAACAGTTTCAGTTTAGACTGAATAAACTAAGTCTTAAAACTGGAATTTATTTAAAATTTATGAATATTTTTTAAATAATTATTTGATTGCTAAGATATTTTTCAAATGCTATTTGTGAAAAATACTTTCAAAATAAAAATGAAAAATTCTTGTTTTCTTCTCTCTAATGAAATTAAATTATTAAAAAATTTTAACTTTTCGTCTGCAATCGGAATTTTGTTATAAGTAAATCTTCAAAAACTTGTGATTGCTTAGGAAAATATTTTCTTTTTATAACTTTTTTTTTTATAGTGAAGCAGATAAAAAAAAGTATTTGATAAAATTATTTTATGTCATTTATTATATCATATTTTTTGTCAGAGTTGTTTCGCAACTGATTTATTGGGAAGAAATTCACCCTCAGTGTTCTAAACTTGCTTAAAAACATTGCCCACTAGAAAATTTTTATTTCCTGATTTCAAAATTCAACTGAATCATTAATTGTTCTGAATTATGTTTTTATCAGCAGAGTAATAAAGTTTGTTTTGATAATATATGTAAAACAATTTTATAAAGTACTAATTCTGTAACTTTACAACTCAAAAAAAAAAATATATATATTTTTTTTTTGTTTGAACTAGTGTTATTAGTAACTTGCTATCAAATTATATTTTTACTTAATTACATAGTTTTAAACTTAAATTTATTTGTCTATTAGAAGTTTAAAATCTTTTAATATTTTGTTAGCGACATACTTCCTTAGCAGTTCTATATTTAGTCTTTTTGTAGGATAATTATGAATGGGTGTGCTGCTTTCATGACAGATTTTGTTTAAATTTTTAGGAAAGTTTTGTGAACTCATGTGTGACATTTTTAAATAAGCGTTGTCCCCAAATTATAAGTGGAAATATCAAAGAAGAAAGTTTGCCAAAAAGTGCATTACCTCCTGAAACATTGGCAACAATATTAAGTTTGCTCCACACTCTTGTTGGGTTAGTATGAATGTTAAAATACAATTCTTTTTTATTTTTTCAAATATTTTATTTATTTAAAAAATTTACTCTTTGTGTTTAGAAATTTTTAAAAAAAAAAAGTACTCAGAACAAACTAAAACAACAAAATACTTTAGAGAAACTTAGTTTGTGACAATGCAAATTTTGTATTGGATTATCAGCTCTTACAATGTCTTACGTGTATCATATTATCATGTCTATCATTATCATATCTATTCTTAGAAGAAGAAAAAAATTCGTTCTGGATCTTGTATGAACTCTGACTGAATTTAGAAAACAAAAGATGAATATATGTAAAACAAATATTAGTAAAATTTATGTATAAAATAATGAAATCGTATATGCCTCGTGGCAGAATCGCGGTGACATTGTCGCAGAAGGTTACAGAGTTCTTGTAGAAAGATTTTTCTTTTGAAAAGTAAAAAAAATTACTTTTCTTTTCTACAGAACACGTAATATTTGAATCATGCATTTAGATTACCACTTTTTTACCCTCTCAATTTACGTAGTATCGTAAATCTATATAATGTTTCGGTTATTTTTTCGGCAGTTATTGATATTGATTTTCACATGGTTTTTAAAGATCCCGATATATTTCAAACAATATGGAAAATACATGCATTTGAGTATTTATTTTTTAAAGCAATAGTTCTATCGAGTTTTTGGCAGTTATTGCTATTGATTTCTCCATAGTTTTTAAATCAGATATTTTTTATACCATGTTATTTATTACAGTAACCTAATCTCGAAATGAAGCATGCATTTGAGAAGTCCGATTCTCGTCATTTCGTCTTCGTTCTTTTTTTTCGGCAATCGCTAATTTTATGGTTTTCAATTATTATTATTTTTTTGTGATGATGATTAATGTGTTTTCTCCTCCAATAAAATCTGAGAATATCTCCAATAATATTAGATTAAAAAATTATTAAATGATCAATTGAAAATAATCATACAGTTTCTTTTCTTGTAAACAGCGGTTTTTTTATTAATGAAATTAGTAACATATATTTTTGTTATCATTAAAAGAATCTTGCAGAAAGATATTAGTGCTAGAGTTTTGTCACAGATTTCTCGAAAAAATTCTGCCACGGAGTCGTATATCCTGTCTTAATCTGATGAAATCTTATATTTCTTATTTTTTGTTCAAATAGGTCAACATCCCAAGAGCTATCGGAGAAAATTTTAACTATGGTTGGCAATTGTAATGTAGTACTTAATAAAAATCGCCATCCTCCTCCTGGTGTTGTGAAAACTACTCAAGGGTTGCAATCAGTTTTACCATCTGTGATCAATCCACCTAATGCTGGGGTAAGAATAATCATAATTAGCTTTTCAATATTAATTAAAATAAGCAGTACTTTAACAAATTGCTTTAATTCTTGTCTTTATTATTATTCAATATTGTTACAATCAAGTTTTTTTTTCTATTACAGTTGGATCAATTATGTGGTTTGGCATCTTCGGTATCTGGAATAACTCTGGGCAACAGTGTAAAAACAATTAACAACACAAATGCTGGATTTCCTAATTTACCTTTGGCATCATTTGCTATTCCTTCAGCTGGAGGATCTCCAGCAAAAATGCTATCTGTAGCAACACCAACCACTCAAACTGTATCAACCGTCAATCAAATAAATCAAAACCAGTTTTCAAATGCTACCACTAATCAACAAATCCATTCCCAACTGGGTATATTTTTATTATTTTCTTTAAAAATATATATGTATATTTGCTGATAAATGTAGTTTTAGTATGTTTCCTCGTTTTTTTTTCTTCTTTAGGTGCATTGAAATTAGACTAGTTCCGTAAAATGCGTTAAAAATTTTGTGTGTTTTAATTAAAATTCAAGAGGGGATACAAAAAGGGGGGAAATATGTCGAACCTCAAATCACAACTAACTTAGTTTGAAAGTGTTTCATAAGACAAGAAAGGGCTGATAACTGATTAATGCTTTGCGATGCAAGTGGAACTATTTTGCATAGTAAATATTATTTATATTTAATGTACAGGCGAAAAAGTCACTGCAATTTCTTAAATTCAATGAAATAAGGCTTTGAGGGGTGGCATACATTATTGAATAAAATAAAGCAATACACCGCTTATAATATACAGGTACATTTTAGATTTTTTTTATTATTTATTTATCGAAATGTATGTTATAATTAATTTTAATAAAGGAAAACTCGCTTTGATTTTCGCTCGCATTTGAATTTCTTAAATTCAATGAAATAAGGCTTTGAGGGGTGGCATACATTATTGAATAAAATAAAGCAATACACCNTATTCAATACAACTTATTTATTTATCGAAATGTATGTTATAATTAATTTTAATAAAGGAAAACTCGCTTTGATTTTCAATGCTTACGGCACATTTCTAAAATAATAAATTGTTTATGACCCAAGATCACAAAGAAATATTATGTCACTACCCACAGTTGTATTGTAGTTTATCATTTCCTTTTAAATAATTTTTATTTTCCATAAGAGGGGACAGGAGTTATGAGATCCAGAAAGTTTTTAATTTTCCAGTAATAATAGTAATTGTTTTTGTCTGATATCTGTATTTTCATGACGCTAGTATAATTTAAATAACTAAATTTAGAAATTTATCTCTAAATTTGCTCTGTTGGAGCTAGTAACATCTGAACATGCACAGTACTCTCTCTTCTAAAAGAAAAAAAAAATTGTTTGTTCTTGTCTTAAAAGTTTGTTTTTCTTTATTAGAGGTTCATTTTTCCATTCAGAAGCATTCAGTGTTCATGAGAATAATTGGTGCATTCTTAACTAGATAATTAGTATATTTATGAAAAGTTATGCTAATTTAATAATTATGAAAGCTTACAAGTTTTTTTTAATGTTGGAACTCTGTCCAAATTTTTTAATATTATATAATATCTATTGTTATTGATTATGTAATTGACAGTAATAGAGAAGTGTACATAATTATGGCAAAATCTTAAAAAATTAATAATTTATAATTGTAATAATGGTGGTATATTTTGATTTAAAAACGAAAAAATTTGAATGAAAAAAAGTGTCGATTGTTTTAGAATTTTGTTTATAAATTACTAAAAAGTCAAATTTGACTTCTTTTTTTCTCATTATGGGGAAAAAATTGAGACATCAAAATACTTTATATATTACCATATTTACATCAATTGCAAACAAGTATTTATTAATTTATTCACTCATTGCTGGGAAGACTTAGAGGGAAAAGGAAAGTCTATGGATATCTATGAAAGTCTACTATATTCACTGTAAAAATAATAATTTACTACAGATAACATTTTTTAAAATCTGTATCAGTTAAAAAATAAACTGCTACAGATGCCACCATTATCACTGGACGTACACTTTTTTCAAAAAGGGTTAAAATTTATACCTTCTAGAAGTTATGAAGGTTTAAATTTTAATACTTTCATAAAAATAGATTTATGAAGGTATTAAAATGAATTTTCACTTCTCACACCAGCTTAAATCGGGTCTACTAAATATTTTGTTTCATCACCTTGAAAATTTATAGCCTGTTTTTTATGTAGATTGATGGACTTTATTTCTCTCTACTAGGTGAAATCAATGCTATTTTTAGAGAAGGTCATCCACCTGTTTCCAAAGATATTGAAGATGAGGCCAATGGATATTTTCAAAAAATTTATAATCATTCTGGTCAATCAACCCTTACTATTGAAGAAGTTTTAGATATGTTGAAAAAGTTTAAAGATTCACCCAATAAGAGGGAACAGGTAATTAACTTTTACTGAAGTGTATTTAAATATTTTCATTTTGTATTCTGATTTTTCCAAGTACAGTCACTGCTGTTTATTAAAATTACTTTTTCTTAACTTTTATATATATATATATACAGTAGGAAACCGATTATCCGGAACGGTCGGGACCATCGCTATTCCGGATAACTGATTTTTCCGGTTTTCTGAATCGCTACAAANTTTTATATATATATATATATATACATACATACAGTCAAACCTATAGTGAACCTTCAAGAGACCGAAAATTTGGTTCACTATAACTGGGACTTCACTATATCCGCTAGCAATTTTAACTAATAGTGCCAAACTCCCCCCTTTTATTACATATTATTTAAATAAATGACCGATAAAATGAAATACAAAAATGACCAAGAAATATTTAGTAACAAAAAAGAATTTTAACTTTAATTTTTTATTAGTCTTTGTCTTGCGTACAAAAAAAATAGTAATCTGATGAGTAATCCTCAACATCAGATTTGGAAACACTTCCCGATTCTCATATAATTTTTCCTGAATTTATGTTATTCCACTTTTTAAACCTGTCTATCAGCCATTCGAGCACATAAAATTAGTCTCACCAAATCGCTTAGCAAATTCATAGGCATGGACTTGATGCATTTATCCAGGTAATGGAAGATTGCAGCTTATTTGAATGCTGAACTAATTCAATAATGAAGCAATCAAGAGAAATGCTTATTGCTACATTCCATGCTATAGATGGTTTTAAAAATCAGTATATGTATTTATTTTGAAGTAGAAATTTTAAAATTATTACAAAAAAATTAAGAAAATAAATCAGTCAAAGACAGAAAAAAGTTCATAATATCCAACTTCCTCTTTTCTTGGTTCACTATATCCACAAAAAATAACATAAGTGTGTAGCAAGGCATGAGAGTGGATATTTTGTTCACTATATCCAGGAGTTCACTATAGAGGGGTTTGACTGTTTGTATATATATATATAGATAGAGATATAAGTACCTATCTAAATTATACTTGGTAGTCTTCATACGTTTATAGAAGCCAGAACCTATTTAAGAACCAGCATATTATAGCACCATTAGTAGTGTTGCTGTTCTTTGCTTTTATGAAATTGCATAAAGAGGATTACTATTTTTTTATAATATCTATAAATATATAATGCAAACTCATGGTGGATCAGTAGTTAGAGCGTGAGACTTCCAATGAGGTGAACCGAGTTTGCATGCTTGTTTTTGTATATTATTTATTATGGTTAATTTATTAATTTAAATACTGTTATCTTTGTTTTTCAGGAAGTCTGTAATTGCATGATAAAAAATCTGTTTGAAGAATATAGATTTTTCCCCCAGTATCCAGATAAAGAACTAATCATTACTGCACAACTTTTTGGTGGCATTGTTGATCGTAATTTAGTAAGGTATGGTGTTTCAATATATTTATAAAAAAAAAGAGGTTTTTGCACCAGGAAAACCTGGAATTTTCAGGGAAAATGAGATTTTTTTAAAAAATAATGTCATGAATAAACTTAATTTTACATTAAAACCAGAAATTTGGCACTATATCATATTGCAAAATTTTAGTCTTCCATTTTCAACCATAGATTGCATTTGCACAATGGAGGATTTTAAAAAAGATTATTAATCAGATTTTTTTTCCTGCCTGACCATAAGTGTAGTTTCAAAATTCTATTATTCTGAAGTCTTACAGGGGTGTTGTCAGTTGAATGTCCGACTTTTGAAACTTCTGCCTTGAGAGCATTGATGTATTAGGTTATTATCAGTTCTGCTACTCAAATTTTGTGACAAATAATTGTTTTATAATTTCAGAATAATACATCATTTATTATAAACAAAAAAAATTTACCATTTGCTTCGTTTATTTATTTGATATCTGTCAAAGAAACAATATTTTTTAATTGAATGAATTCTGATTCCTCAGAGGTCTGATATCATTTGCAAGTTTTGCCTCATATGGAATCACATGTGCTTTTATGATATTTCTTCTATTTAGTAAAAGAAATAAAAGTAAAAGGATTAATTATGCAAAATCATACAATTATTTATTAATGAAAGCAGACTATTATTTTTTATGAAGCAGATTGCAGACTATAAGATTTAAAATTACCACTTGGTAATTTCAAATCTTATAGTCTCTAAGCACCATTTATTAGGGCTTACTTCATTTGAAATGTGCCATATGATTATATTTTAATAGCAGAATAGTTATAGGATTAAACAAATATTAATCTAAGCACTTTTACCTCTACAAAGAGTATTATTCAATACAACTTATATTAATTTTTAAAAAAATTTCTTTTTTTCCTTTTCTCAAGCCCATATAATGATTAAATTTCAGAAAAGTTGTTCAAATTCTTCATTTTACCCGTTGTTAGTTTTTGTTGTTAATGAGACAAAATTAGAATTTTGTTAAATTATCTTCTTTATTCATGTTTTTTAAAATTATTATTATTTGATATTTCTCAAAATCCTTACAACTTAACACTAAGCATACCATAACCAGTCAAAAGACTGGTTTTTGTATTGTAAAGTATTGGTATATATAGTGTTAAAACATTGATAAAAGCTTCTTTTTTTTTTAAGCCTAGAAGTTTTTGAGTGATGTTTGAAAAGTTACTTTAATCTTTTAAATATTATTATTCAAGGTTTATTAATTTATTGATATCTTTTCTTTTAGCAGATAATAGCAACTAATAACGATGAGCAAACAAATTCATTTCATATTGTAATTATCTTTTTAAAAAAGAAAATTTTGCTTTTTCTTATTCATAAAATAAAGATGCCTTTTGAATCAAACTCATAATTTTATTTAATAATTAGATTAACAGCTCTCTCTTTCTAAGTAACTCTTTCCAGCTGTATAAAAAATGATTCTTTTCTTAACATTGATTAAGGAAATAATTTTTCGATAAAAGTCATTTTTTAAAAACAATGCAAAATTGTGTTTCTTTTTCAGCTACTTAAGCCTGGGATTGGCACTTAGATTTATTTTGGAATCATTAAAGAAACCTCAAGGAAGTAAAATGTACTACTTTGGCTGCACAGCTGTTGAAGCTTTCAAAAATAAGTAATAATACATTTAGAAATTTGATTTAATCAAAATTTGTGTATTAAATATTTCCCATTTATATCATAGTAAATGTTTGTTTGTTTTTTCTTTCTTTCCAGATTGAAAGAATTACCTGCATATTGCCAACATGTCACTACTATACCAAATTTCCATGAACTTCCTCCTCATATAATAGAGGTAAAGTTAGAGAAATGTTCAAAATAAATGCATCAAAAATTACAGTAAATGTTAAATTATGAATTTATTAGAAAAGTTTAATTACTGAACAAAGCTATTACCCACACATAGGATTCCACTGAAATCTGACCTTCTTTAGAAGGACTGATTTCTTCTTTCTTTTCTTTGATTAAAAAATAATTATGAAACATTTCTTTAAAATCTCCAACTTTTAACTTTGGTAACAGCTTTTTCATATCATGTAAACCCTAGTCTTCTATCCTAAATAAATCTTTTACATTTGATGTAATTTCTCATTCAGTTCTTTTGGGAATTTATATTTAATTATCAGCTTATTATTTCCCATCTTGTTGAAGTATATTGTTTAAATAGTTTTTCTGATTTGAAATACTGATCTTCTTATTAATTTAATTTAGGTTTGTCATTATTTTAATTTTGTATTATTATTTTTTAGTACATTGAATATGGTGCAAGGAATCAAGACCCACCTCCACGCACGCAGCCTATTACAACAACATTTCCAACTTTGACACCTGCTCTAACACAGCCTCCAAATTTACCACTAACTGTAACTACTGTGACCACAACCATTACAACTTCAACAACTAAAGCTACTGTACCTGGCAAAGTAATGGTAAATGCTACATTCAAGGTGTCTAGCAATCTGGATAACCTAGGATTTTTAAATTTCTTAAGACAGTCAGGGAAATGTTTAAAATTAACATAATTTAAAATCTTGATTTTTTTTTTTTAATATTAAGAAAAAAAATTCCACTCTCTAATACGCAACTATTATAAACAATTCTTTTTTTTTTTTTTCTTTTTTTTTTCTAATACAAAAAAATCTTCATTTGGTATGTAATTTTTAAATTAAAATCAGTCAAAAAAAACTTTTTTTATATATTTAGCAAAAATTATAATTTATATGTTAGTAAATGTACATAATTAGAATTAATATATTATACTTGATTTCATACCACTTAATATTTTACTAACTAGTATTTTGAAAAAATAATGTAAAGAAAGCAGTTCTTTAAATTTTGATATTAAAGTCTGGAAGAGTAATGGAAATTTTATCCAGAATTTTGCCAGACGCCTGTACATTCTTTTCAATTCATAACTATCTTGCTCCTGTAAACATCCTGCACTGTTCTCTTTTTTAGCCATCTATTGTTAATCCAACAAGCATAGACACTTTATTAGTTGCAACTGAAAAAGATGAAAAACTTGTTGTTCCACCTGAATCTGTGCAAGATAAAGTAGCTTTCATTGTTAACAATCTGTCACAATCCAATCTTGTACAAAAAGTAAGCTATTTAGTTACTCTTGAAATGTTTTCTTTAAAACCTGATACTGACCTTACCTTAATATGTTTAAAGTTTAAATATATCATCAAAACAATGCCTTTGGATATTTTTTGTACATGAAACAATATGTGTTTCATGTACAAAAAGAAAAACCTTTGAACGAAGAACGAATAATTCATTAAAAAATTTTTAATCTCTAATAAGAGTATTACTAATGTTTAATATTAAAAATATGTTTCAAAAAGAATCTTACAGCATTTAAAAAAATTTCTCATTTTTGCTCATTTATTTACTGTCCATTATTATTTTGTATTTAATGTCTTTTAATTTTTTCTTTGAAATGTTGAATGAAATGAAATCATTCTAATCCTATAATCAGTGACATGTTCATTTTCATAATGGTATCCAATCCTTACTTAAAAAGTTTTTTTTTTATTTATTTATTTATTTTTTTTTTGCAAAACGTGTTTAAAGGCTGAAAAATTGACCGTTTCTTATAGATTTAGAACTATAATGCACACGAAAACTTCAATTTTACTGATTACCTCCCCCATCGTACTGATGAAATTTTATTGAGTCAAATAATTTTAACACAATATTTACATTGACTTGATATTTTTTTTTCAATTATTATTTTCATAACTTTTAAAATTAGTTATGCTATTAATATTAAAATATGTATATGCTGTTATTGTATTAATCAATTTTATTTACCTGTTCATATGCATGTATCTACTCATCTAAAAATATAGTTTTTTTCATCTTTACAAAAAAATTATATTTAGTTTTTATTACTCACAGTGTCATTAATTTTATTTCTAGACTGATGAATTTAGAGAAATCATTAAAGATGAATATTGGCCTTGGGCATCTCAGTATCTAGTCATGAAAAGAGCTTCTATTGAACCCAACTTTCACACTTTATACTCAAATTTTCTAGATACTTTAAAATTACCAGATTTAACAAAACTGGTGATAAGGGAGACCTTCAGGAATATCAAGGTATTCTATTTGTTACTTGAATCAAAGGTTCGAAATAGGATAATTTTTATTTTGTTTTCTAAACTTTATTTTATTTTTCAGGTCTTGCTCCGCAGTGATAAAGGAATAGCAAACTTTTCTGACAGATCTCTCCTAAAAAATTTGGGACATTGGCTTGGTATATTGACTATTGCTAAGAATAAGCCAATTTTGACTAGAGTAAGTATTGTATTTTTTTCTTTATTCCATTTTATAAGAAATATGTGTAATTATAAAACTTCTCAGTTAAAAATTTATTTTTAAAAAAATGGCATGTTTTCCTTTTTACAATTAGGATATTGATGTCAAATGTTTGGTAATGGAAGCTTATCATAATGGTCAACAAGAACTGCTTTATATTGTTCCCTTTGTAGCAAAAGTGGTAGAGTCCTGTGCAAAAAGCAAAGTAAGTACATCTTAAATCCGTTATTACTTAATGAACTTTTTTTCTTTTAAAAGTCATATTTTGATCACCATCCTTTTTTATAGGTATTTAAACCGCCTAATCCTTGGACTATGACCATTATGAGTGTTCTTGCAGAATTACATCGAGAGCCAGATTTGAAGTTAAATCTGAAGTTTGAAATTGAAGTGCTTTGCAAACACTTGAGTTTGGATGTAAATGTAAGTTTGTGAAACATTTAATAAACTTAAAATTAGTTACTAACTAGCACTGTAATTTTAATTATATTGTATTGGCGTGCACAAGTAAGTTCTCGCACAAATGTATTATAAACTAAATAACTAAGCTAATATGAAATTAAACGTTGAAGCAATTATTTTAATTTTATTTCAATATCAATAAAAATCCATACACCTTTAGTCTGTGAAGAAGCCCCGAGCTTGCTCCTTCTCAGTGTCTTAGTCGTTCTTTACTTTTTAGTCTTAATATTCAATGTTACTCTCCTGAAGACAAAGAAGAAGCCGTAACAATAATGTTAAAAGTTATTTCTAAGTCTTTGTACTTCATTTATTATTTTATTTTGTCAACTAATTTTTAAAAGGGTATTTGTAAATTACAACATTTTAAATTTAATCTTTATATACATATGTAAAACACTAAATTTTAACATTATAATAAACTTCTGTTTGCATTAAAATACAAAACATGTCAAATGAATAGCCAAAACTTTCTGGTCTACACAGCAGTGTGTTATGTTTCTCAGCTAATGGTAACAACAAAGCCAAAGACTAGGTTGAATTTTTATCAGTTTCTATAATAAACTGTAGAATAAAGTTAATTAATTGGTCTACTGTGTAAGATAAAACGTACTACTAAAGAGAAATGCTTTTACTGGAGTTTGGATAGTTATAAATACACTAATTATAAATCATACATTAAGTTTTATTGAACTGAAAATAATTATAAAATAAAAAGCAAAAATTCTTTTAAAAAAATTTTTTTTTAATTTTAAACCTTTATCTTGGAGCAAAAATTTCATGCAATTTCATATTTTGTCACGAGAACATAGCAATGTTCTTAGTCTTTATGCTATATTGAATAAAATAAAAAATTCAAATAACTTAGGAACTATTCAAGAGCCTTCAAACTAAATATACAAGTGCCCTCAAACTAAATTATGTATGTGCACTTGGTGCCATTTCCTTGCAAGTGGTAAGCTCCTATTTTCAGCTTTAGTTAAATCATTTAATTATGTTATAATTTTTTTTAATTAGATTTGTTTCGAATTCAAGTTCATATGGCTGTGCCCATCTTTTCCGAGATTATCTAGAGTGGGGGAAAAAGGAAAATATGTTGGATTTTTTAAATATAAAATAGCAAAATCTGAAATGATCACAATTAGTGATATGTATTGCAATTGTACTTTTAAAAAATTTATTTTTTGTCTTATATATTATAAACATTGAAGTTTGTTTTATTTGCACTCAATAAACTTATTAAAAAAAATTAGTTACCACAAGGCAAGTAATTTTCATAAATCTCATGTTTTGTAAAACTATTTATATTTCTTACAGGAGCTGAAAATTTTTAATATTTTAAAAGATGAAGAGCGTATGAGAAAACTAGAATCTCAACTTTCACCTTTGTCTAGTTTGCCAAAACAGAAAGAAGCACAAGTGATAAGTACTGTAAATATTCAGGTGCCAACCCAACCTGTACTGAGTAATGTAATACCTCCTAATGCTAATCCCATACCAAACAATGTGCTTCATGAGGAAAGTATTCAAAATGTATCGTTAAGTAGTCCTCCTGCTCTTACGACCAGCCAAGTGACTTCTTTATGTGCTACATTACCTCAGCCTCAATTTGCATATGGAGATATAAATATTGTGTCAACAAGTCACATAAACCCACACTTGTTAATTAATTCACAGGTATAAATATTTTTTTTTATGTATGAAATTTTTTTTTTTTTAAAATCTTATGGTGATAATTCTCTTTATCACCAGTGCATTTGTTATTAAGGCGTTAAATCCACTTTATCTGACTATTTATACCTTATACAAACTTATCTGGTGCTGGAATCATTTATTTTTCTTGCTATCAGTGAAATTTTAATAAATATTTATTGCCATAATTTTGCGGAGGTAGTCCACCCCAGGATATACTCCGCACCCATAAAATTTGACTTTCATCAGAGAGGCCGCACCATCGGGTACGCACAAAATTTTAATGTGTGATTGATTGCTGAGTTAACGCATCTGTTACAAATAACAATTTTCTATACAAAATAAGTTATTAAACCTTTAAAAATAATTATTAAATATACTATAAATTAGTATATACAATCTTACTTAAAATCAGAAATTCGATAATTTTTATCATAACTTTTCAAATGTCCACAAAGTTGTACTGTGTACAATTGGGCGCAATTCCAATGCCACTCAATCACAAAGGCATTACGTTGCTAAATGTTAATTTAAAATACTCTAATTTTATGTGAATCTAGCAATTAAAAATCTGAGTATAATTAAAATAAGTTATCAAAATACAATAAATTGATGAAAAGAATCTTACTAGGCACTATATTGTACCGTATGATATATATGTACCATATCCATTCTTTGGTTGAAGGAGTGAGCGCCTGTCACACTATTGTAACCTTCTTGCAAACTGTTTTTCGCCTGCATTGTTAATTCTCTAAATTATAATTAATTGTGAATTATAAAAATAGGTCGCTGCAAAAAATAAAAAGGGGAAGATATAATAATGAAATTTTAAATCAATTTTTAAAAAAACACCAAATAGGCTGTTGCCCTATTAGACATGCCACACATACCAAAATGTAATGTTTTTAATCATTAACGTCGCGATGCATTCCACTTTATATTAAATAAGCATTCATTTTATGTCAATTGTATTTCTTTAAGCATGAAGATAGTAAACATTTTTGAATGTAAGAAATTTTAATGGAATCAAAAATGAATTTATTAATTAGAAATCTTTTAGCTAATTAACAGGAATCCTTTAGGTAGGAAATAATGAACAATTATAAGTTTTAGAAGGAAAAAAACTTCTGTATTTATATGTAAATTCTTATGTTTATTGTATTTACATGTAAATTATTATTACTTAAAATCATACTAGTAAAAATTGTGAAATTTTATAAAAAAAATTTTAGTCAATTTCGGGTTTAACTGGAAAATGACTACCTTGAATCTCCTTGAAATATTTATTTGTATTTTTATAATGAGTATTCAACTATTTATAAACAATAGGAAAAATATTTCTAAATATATAGTAGGCAAACATTAAATGACTATTTATAGCAATTTTTAAAAAGTAAAAGTTAGTTTTGTTTTCTTCAGTTTAAATTTTTATGTGACGTTTTCAGTATTTTTTTTTTCCTTCCAGTGTTTTTTAAATAAAAATTGCACAATATGTTTCTTATGTCCTAAATTCTTACTTAAATTAAAATACTGCGAAAAAATATTTCTTTTTTTTTTTTCACAAATTCTGAAAATAATTTTATAAAATCAAAAAATCTTTTTCGCTTACTTATCTTTTACACTTATTTTTTACACAATTTTAGCTTCCATTGTTCCAAGCTCATGCTCAGTTAAAACAGTGTGTCTATATTGTTCCCTTTGTAGCAAAAGTGGTAGAGTCCTGTGCAAAAAGCAAAGTAAGTACATCTTAAATCCNAATGCTTTCACAACAGCCTTAAGAGTAAAAAGCCTTTTTATACATATGTTTTTTTTCACTCATTGGTAAAATGAAGAATATTAAGCTTTGTCTAAATTAATTGCAGAATCCTACCCCACAACAAAAGGAACTAACAGAACATGCATCTGACATTGTTGCAAGAGATAATTTGGAACTAGCATGTTGTTTTATCCAAAAGACAGCTGTGGAAAAGGCTCTTCCTGAGATTGACAAGCGACTTAGCAATGTAAGTTATAAAATTATATTTATTTTAAGTACAAATGACACTTTATTTGCTACAAAACTTTTAAGCTTGACTGAATGTTGTTAAAGAAAAAACAAAATGTCATTTTTATGTTTTTTTCTATGAATACATTGAGTCTTGATTATATACAAAGATTACAAGTAGTCTTTTGACAATTAGAATTCAATTAGGGATATCATTTTGTAACTTTTGAAGTATTCATATGCAAATAATTATTAAATTACAAAATAACGAACGAAAAACTGTAAAATAATATGAATACTTTGCAGATTTGTGGGTTTTTGTAAAAAGTGCTCAATTTTCTCTTTTCCAAAATGAGATGCCTTACAATGCTCATTCTCGCCATAAATTACACTCAAAGCGTAGGTTTTGCATTGTTCATTTTCACAATTTATTCAACCACATTCTGTTTGGACTTACAGTAATTTGTATAACACAAAAGTGTCTTATTCGCTATTTTAACATTTAGCATATGCTGTAAGAAATCTTAAGTTATTCAGCAATAGATTTTAAAATAATTAAATTTTAAAAATCATCTCTAATTTGTTAAATGTGATGAATATATGGACCATGTAATAATTGCTTCTGGCAAAATTTTTAATTGCTTCATTAAAGAAATACTGAACCAAATTACAAATTTTAATTAAAAAAGAAAAAGTAACTAGTTTACATTTGTAAAATGTAATTATTAAGATTTTCTTAGTTAGCTTAACTTTTTACTCACATTATAAGTTCAGTATAATTCGTAATTTTAATCTTGTAAATTTTTTTGTTAAATATACATTTGTAATTAATTTTATTTAAGAAAGTACAATAAATAATTGAATAAAATTATTATTAGTTTAAAAAATAGTATGAGCATCTCTATTTTGAATATATTTTAAATTGTGCTTAAAATGTTTTCATAGTGGCTGATAGAATCTTTGCCAGAAACTGGATATTTTATTGTGATTATATGAAGCCTTTGAAAATGATTTTTGCATTTTGTTAATTTCATGAAATGTACACAGAACTTTAAACAATAGGGGGGAAATATTTGTTTGTGTTTCTTAATTATTATGTTTTTCTTTTTAAATTGCCTGAAAAATATTTTTTGAGTGCTTACTTTTTACTGAAAAAGTGGACTATCCACCCTGCTTAGCTCCAAAAAAAAAAAAAAAAAAAAAAAAAAAAAAAAANAAAAAAAAAAAAAAAAAAAAACTTTCAATATCTTCTAGTGGATAAATGGTTTCTCTTTCAAGAAGATAGACCCATTCATAGCACTATTGAAGACTACTTATCTAGATTGGGTTGACATAGACTGGAACATACTAATAAAGTCTATAAATGTGCATTTAAATTAATATTCAATGTTTTTAGATATAATTTATGTAAATAGAATCGAAATGACTATAGCTTAGAAATCTCACACAAACTGTTTATTCTAAAAGATATTGGCTGACAATCTGAAAAAACTGAAAATTTAGGGAACCTCTGTTTTCTATAATTTAGATTAGAATCATTGTCCAAGATTACTGACACGCCTCTTTAAAATAAACTCTCCTGGGATTTTTAGAGTACATAACGAGACTTGTCTCATTTTCTGATGACCATGCTTTAATTTCAGATAAATGTTATAACATCTTTAATGGGTTTCTGATTACGAAAAATTTTTCATACAAGTAAAAAAAATTAAAGTGAAATCCAATAATATCTTTTATACATGTTTTCCTAATGACATTTATTTTTAAGTTACTTTACTACTTATAACTTTTGTGTATGTAATGAGTATTTCAACAAGTGGGGGGGGGAATTAATAATGTGATATTAAATGCACATTTGTAAAGTTGTTATGTTGAATGTGTTGTTTTTTAAATATCACTGGCATTTGTGCCTTAAAAGGTATACAACTTTTTATGATTAAAAGAAGATTCTTTTCAATGATGCTTTAGGAATATGATGCAAGAAAACATGCCAGGAGTGAAGGTCGGCGTTATTGTGATCCTATGGCCTTAACTTATCAAGCGGAAAGAATGCCTGAACAAATTAGACTAAAGGTTTGTTTTTGATGCTCATATATTTCTAGCCAATTTCTCTTAATGGTTATCAGTCACTTCATCAATATTGTATAGTTTATATAATGTATAAACATAGTCACTTTACCAAATTTACCTTTTTTTTTTGTGAAACCTGTGCCACAGCCTTTCAGCAACCCTATCATTCTCTTTCCTTTCTATTTGATTTTGTTAGACTTAATCTGTAAGGCATTTAATTTTCTTTATGCATGTTGCGAAGTTTGATGCAATTTGCCAATTTTTGCTCTTCTGTCATTGAACTCTCTAAATTAATTATAAGCTGTGCCGGGACTGTCAATTAAAAAATGTCTAAAGATAATTTTCTTACACATTTCGCCTAGCTATTTATGAAACCAAATTACTCAGGTTTTTAAACTTTGCGTTATTTCTCAGTTAATATAATTTCTACATTGTGTATATAAATACACACTTTATGTTATTACTATTGCAAATCCACTTAGTATTTCGATTGTATTTTCAGCAGTTATTGATATTGATTTGTACATGGGTTTTAAATATCCCAATATATTTCTGACAATATGGGAAATTCGAATCTTGCATATGAATATTTAATTTTTAACGCAATGATTCTATTGCTTTTTAGGGGGGCATTTTTTTCACTCAGTTTTTAAAATCCCATATTTTTGATACAGTATTATTTATTACAACAACCAAGTCTTAAAACAAAACATGCTTTTAGTACCTCCTTTTTAAATATCCTATTCATGTTTTTTCTCTGTCTATCTTTTCTTCCGGTAAATACTGCTACGGATTTCAAGATTTTAAACTTTTTTTCCCTGTGATGATGATTTACAAAATGCGTAAAAAGAAATAATTCGAATGTTTACCTCCTACAAAATGTTAAAATATCCCCCATGTTATTAGAATTTTGAAAAAAAATATTACATATTCATTTTTTTAAAATATTATATGCAATTTTATTTTATCCAAATAGGATTTTTTTGGTAAACACAATGTATCTATTACTTTAAATTAGTAATAAGTATATTTGTTATTATTAAAAGTATCTTGCAGAAAGATGTTAGTGCTAGAGAGGTTTGAAGCAGAAAGTTCAAAAAAATTCTGCCACGGGAAAATTGCCATTCTGCCTCTTATTAACTATCACAACTTGCTTAGACTGGTGTAATTACTTTAAACAATAGATACTGTAATTAAAAATTAAAACTAATTTTGAACCAGGGCTGCCAACTTTATGCTTTTTTTTTTAAAGTTTTTATGTAATGGTAGACAATTAAAAATTAAAATTTTGGGATTTTTCCCAACATTATAAAAGCCTCACCACAAGAAAGCTGTATAGTGGCGTTTCGTATGAACTTTTGAATCCTTTACATGTAAAGGTGTGGAAAATAAATCGAATTTACAAAACAAATACAATCATACATTATAACATAAGTTTAGTGGCCACTAGAAGAAATGTATCCAAAAAGTGCAGAAAATTAGCAGACCTGTTAAACATATTCATTAGCATACAATATAAATAAGTTTGGGTTTATGATCGACTTTACAATGCATAAGAGTTTTACGGTTCAGTAAATCTTAGCATATTTCGATAAAGGGATATTTTAACTGCTATTTACCTCTTAATGTTTCTAAAGTCTTTAAAATCATCGATCTTATAAAGATTAAAATTTTTCTTATGAAAATTGGTCTGTCTTGTACACTTTATTCTGTTCTTGTTTGATCTTTTTTTTTTCTTTTTTTTTTTTTAATCTTATTATTTTTTGCAATGCGTAGGTTGGAGGTGTAACTGCACAACAAATGGGTGTTTACGAAGAATTTGCACGTATGATTCCTGGATTTCTACCAAATGGTGGAGAAAGAGAACAACAACAACCAGCCAACTTTATTAGCAAACCAATGGCTGTGAGTGATATTTTGTTTAACTTATTTATTTATTATTTTTTTCATCTTTATTCATAACTGTTTTTGTTTTGTTTTTTTAAATCTTAATGTGTAAAATGTGTAAAAGTTTGTTACTTGATTTGAAATAACTTACATTCATTAATTCTCATTTCAACTTAATAGCATAAAGTTATGCATATCAACCACTTCATTTAATATATAACTTTTCATTACATAACATTCCAAGCTCTTCTCCTTTTGAAATAGTCTCTTTTAAAAGTAATCAAATCAAGTACAGTATTGACCTAAAAATAATGACATTAAATATTTCTGAAAAAGTCCAAACTTTTTATCAAAACCATTGTTTTTTATATATTTTTTGTTACACCTTTGTTTTCCGCAATCACTGGAACCTGTTATGAACCGATGATACATGAGACACGTCCATTGTGTGTTTTTTCCCCCAACGTTGTGACAGATAATGTGTTAAAAATGTTCTTGTAGCAGCTCTTCATAACCCATTAATCAGGCTTTTCTGAATTCAGCGTGCAATAAAAAATGATTTACAACTCCCGCATGAGTATAATGATAAATCTGTTTAAATATTTTTAAAAATATGAGGAATAATATTTTATTTATAAAGATGTACTTAAAATATATTCTGTAAGTGTTGTTAGTAATTTTCACCATGTTATTTTTTAATAGCTGATGCAGCCGTATGCTACTGATGAAGTTAGTTTATTGTATGATAAACTAATAAGAGATTTGGAGATGCTACTTCAAGGCAGTGTAGCTTCTTCAAGTACTCATGTAATGGCTCTTCACAATCTACTTGAAGCTGTATCTCTCTGTCGCAACTCTCAAGAATTGCCTGCTGCCGTTTCTCTCCTACAAAAAGTAACTCCTTTTTCTTAAACAGCTTTTTAGTTGGGTTTTTTTTTCCAGTTTTATTCTTTTGTTAACTGTTTTTTTTTTCAGACTGTGGAAAGCTTTTTAGAAGGCATGAGTCAACCTGCTAGTGAAATGGAGTTTGCTATGCGTTTTAAAGAGGGACATTTGATGGTACTAAAAACTCTGGCTGATCATCGAATCTGTGGTCATCAATGGACAAGTAAACAAATAACCCGGTGGCTGATTGAAAGCAGAGAAGAATATAGATACAACCTTGAATCAGTTGATGTCCTGATCAGAAACCATCTTATTAACTTGCAAGCTTATGATCTTCATTTGTGACACAGGTATATAATAAAATACATATATTGCCAATTTTTTTAAAGAATTTTAATTTTTTGTTCCAATTTATCAATTTCTTATTGTGCTTTAAAAATTCTCATCATTTTGCTATTTCAATATTTTTATTCTATTTGGGTAAATTCTTATTTATTTTTTATTATTTTTATCCATTTGTCAATTCTAAAATAGAACATAATCTATTAAATGAAAATATTTCTAAGAACTATTTTATTTGTGCAATTTAGTAGAGTATTTAAAAAGTAAAACTTCTATTTACAATATATATTCATTGTAAAGATATTTTTTCCAGTAAAGTTCAGATTTGTCTCAGGCTAAAACTATAAATTGTTGCTAAAACTGTCCTAATAATTCCCAACTTTAGCAAAAGAGTGTTAAATTTTGCAATGAATAAAACTAATGCTGTAAAAAAAAATTTATAACCACCAAAGCTGCTTAACATATTAACAAAATTTTGAAACAAATAGGGATAAATAAGAACTACCTGAAATAAAATATTAAAAATATATCTCTGACTTTTGCTAAGCATCAAGTGTTATTTCTGCTGCTTTATGATAATTGGATAGGACTCTGTAATACAGATAAATTCGGCTGCTACAGCATATGTTTTGCTTTTTTTTTTCCTTTTTTTTTTTTAATTATATTATTAGTATTAAATTTGTATTAATTTTTTTTTTCTTTAATTTCAGTCAATGGATAAAATGGCTTAAATCTTATGGCTGTTTCATTTGCAATGCAGTTGGTGAAAATGTATCTTTTGGATGAAAGATCTGCTAGTTTTGTGTCAGAGGTAAGTAAGAAACATAGTAGTATTTATTTATTTCAGAACTCTGTAAAAAAAATAATATTAAAAAATAAATATTACCACAGTATCAGTATTTACTATTAACACAATTAAGGAACACTGACATCAATAATACTTTGGCAATTATTTTAGTGCCTAAGTATAAATTATTTTATTTTTGAAAAACTTCTGCAGGAGAAAAAATTAATACTTGAAAACTAAAGTAACATTCACTATTTTATCAAAATTTTATATTTAAACATGGATGCATTTCAATATTTTATTTAATTAATATTTTTTAATTCCATGTTATACTATCATGGCATGCATCTTACGCACAAATTTTTTTATTATTATTATTTCGAATGGTAGCAAATAAACACCCTTGTCAACTTTAAACTATCTTTAGGGTTAACAATTATGAGGTTAAAAAGTTTTTGAAATTACTTGTTTCACTATAGATTAATAATTCCATTCAATGCCAGTCTACACAAAAAACTTAATTTGACTCTTAATTGACATAAAGTTGATAAAAGATGTTTTTTCATAGCATAATGTCCAGCCTTACAAAAAATTATTTTGTTTTTATTATTTTCTGTATATTTTAAAAAAATCTGCTAATTAAAACAATTAAGATTAAAATCTCTACTTTTGATGCATAGATCTGTACTAGCATATTTTTAGACTAACTCTATCTTAGTGTTAAATATTAAGCTGGAATGTCTTTATAGTAAATACATTTAATTAAACATAATTATTTTAAAAAATACTGAAAATTATTTTATAATTAAAAAATCAAATCTTTTTTTTATTATACTTCTTAATGTAAATAAACATTTGTTTGTGGATTTAAATCTTATTCAAACTTAAATTTGTGGTACATAAAAAAAAATAGTGTGACTTCTCTCTAAATTTCAGTTTTGTGCAAACTTGTTATACAAAGCTGTGAGAATTTAAAATGACATGTAAACAGTTTTACGCATATTTCTTTAATTTGAAATTTTGTATTTTATCTTAAATAAATTATCTTTGTTTTAGTCTGACCTTTACAACACTGTTGAAACTTTAGTTCGTATATCATCTGTGCAGCGACAGCAACTTCCAGATGGGTATGTTTTTTATATATATGTATATTTTTCCTTTCATGAATAGTTATTTTTCAACTATCAGCATAAGAGAGAGAGAGAGAATAGCCAATCTAAATAGAGGCTTATTAACTATAGTGTGTCTAAAGAACTCTTCCTGCCACTGATTTTCAGATTGTTTGCTACTGGGAAACAAGAAATATTACGTTTTAGAGTTGCAGAGCTTTTGATACTTCTTTTGCCAACCCTTGTTATAATTTTTCCTAAATGTTTACCCTACACTGTATAAATAGTTCTACCTCGTTATAATAGTCACCTGCAATGCTCTAGGCAAATTGCGTGGGGAGTTCTTTAGATAGACTATATATTGTTTTTGTGTGTGTTTACTAAATTTTCTGTGTAAGGTTTTTTTAATTATTGGCAGTATTTCATGCGAAATATAATGATTTAAGTTCAAAAGTTAGTCTTAATTTTTTTCCTGTTAGAAAATTTTCAAACATTTGTAAAAATAACTTTTTTATAAAAAAAGAAAGATAAGTGTTTAAATTGTTTCACAAAAAGTTTTTTCATGCTCACAGGGTTCCCGCGGCCTTGAAAAGTACTTGAATTTCATTTTGATTTTCAAGGGCCTCTAGAAGTACTTGAAAATGATATTAAATCCTTGGAAAATTCAAAATGACCTTGAAAAGTATCAAAAACTCAGGAAAACAGCCCTATTTCCAGCATTTCTGTGTTTAACTTTTTGACACACGTATGTGTGAGAGAATGACTTTCCCGTCTTTCAAGTGATGACACGTACTGTTTGATTTTAGGATTTTTCTTTAATAGAAAAGTGGTCAAAATTGTATTTAAGAATAATTTAAATTTCACTCTCTAAATGCTTCTTCCACTTTAAATATTAAATAAAAATCTCCCGGCAGAGTTGTTTTTAAATATCTAATTGATATCACAGTATTATATAGAACATCCCCCCCGTCCTGCCCGAATTTTTGCTTATTCAGAGGTTGCATACCTAGCTTAAAATAGGCTTTGTGCAAAATTCAAATCTGACGTTTTTATGAATCATGAATTTTATTCTTGACTTGATGCCAATCCCCCTTGCATTTTTTATACTTAGATCACTTTCCGAAATCAAGAGAGCAATGGAAGTCTTATTTTTCAGTACTGCTATTGTCGTCTAACATTTATCGTCAACTAACTATTATCGTCAAAATATTTTAGTTTAAAATGTAAAATTTTAGTCTATCTTTTACTAAAATTTAAGTCCTTGAGAATTTTATAATAAGTCTTAAAAAGTCCTTGAAAAGTACTTGAATTTTATTTCTGGAGTAGAGCATGAACCCTGTAGCTCAAAAATTTACATTTTTTTTCTTCCTGAAATTAAATGCGATTTAACCCTGCTGTAAATTAAATTTTGATACAATGAAATAATAAAACAGGTGTTAAAAAACTAACCAAGATTAAATATGCTACATCATTTTATTTTGTCTTAGTAACTGTGAAGGAAATTGCTACTTTTTGTTTAATATTAAGAAGGAATTTTGTCCTAATTATAATTTTCTTTATTTCATTTTAGATTATCTCAACTCTTGGATTTAATCCGAACATCAGCAGATGCTTCATTCCTTGATAGAGCTCCTGGGGGTGGGCCAATGGGAATGATGTATTCTGGAATTACACAAGCACGAGAATTTGACGATCCTCCTGGACTTTATGAAAAAACTGAATATTTATTGAGAGAATGGGTGAATATGTTTCATTCTCCTAATGCAGGAAGAGATAGTACCAAGGCTTTCTCTCTCTTTGTTCATCAAGTAAGCATTCAAAAATGTATTAGTGCACCTTTAATCTCAAATAGTGCTGCATTAAAATAACTATTGAGTGTTTTTCTTTTTTAAATGTGGTTCAGTAAATTCTTATTGATCATTAAAATTTAATGTATAATATTAAGTAAAGATATCACTTAGGCAATGTTCAAAACTAAAATATTCATGGTAATATATTACAAACTCACTTTGGAAGATGTTATGCCACTTTAGTTACAAAAGTTCTTTAAAAAAACAAAAAAAAAAATCCTTCCAACAGGATTGTCTTTTAGCACAAATAGCTAAAGGCATTCAAGAATCTTTTTAGACAAATTCATTACGAGACCAGCCTTCTTATTCACCGGGCTTGAATCCCAATTTTCATGCTAAACCTCATAAGACTTGGGAATCTTTAAGAAAATTACTGTGCAGAAGTGGGTTGTAGCTTATAGCAAAAGATTTTGTGACAAGTTTACAGTTTTTTAAAAAAGCCAAAGGCTGTCACTTTGTAAAATAATTGTAGACAGTAAAATGTTCTCATGTTAATTTGAGAAAATTATTTTTAAAAAAAATAAATATTCTGCAGAATGAGAAATCTAGAAAGCTCCCCTAACAAAACAAAAAGTAACTAATTAAAGCAAGGGTGTTATATAAGAAAAAATTTCTGTAATCAAAATTGCTTTACTTCTAAAAGATATAGCCCTGGTAAATGGGGGCTATATGCTTATAGAAAATTGGGTGCTAACTTTATAGCTGTCAAATGATAAGCTATGAATATATCTGTTTTAAGATTTTTATTTACTTATTTTATATTTTCGAAATGATAAATAATTTTATTTCTTCCTCTTCAGATGAATTTGCAAGGTATCCTAAAAACTGATGAACTAATTACAAGATTTTTCCGTCTCAGTACAGAAATGTGTGTGGACCTTTCCTACAGAGTTTTGTTGGACCAAAATAATAAATCTCCTACAGTAATTAGAGGCAAATGCTTCCATACTCTTGATGCTTATGTTCGCCTGATTGCCCTTTTAGTCAAGCATAGTGGAGATTCAAATAATACAATTACCAAAGTCAATTTATTAAATAAAGTAAGTGCAAAACTTTTATTACAAAGTAGGATTTGAGGAAAAATCTGGATATTATGCCTACTTTTTTTTTTGCTACTAATTTTACTCCTTTTCTAATTTTCCTAATAATTTTTTTCCTATGTCTGTGTTATAGCTAAATTTATTATTTTTAACCGAATTTGCAGAAAAGGCCTACATCTAACATAGAAGTTTTATGTTTGGTAACTAGTAATCCCTTGTTTTGTTGAAATATAACTATTTTTCAGGGAGTTTTAGTTTGCTAAACAATTCTTTTTGCTTCTTAACAATTGACAGATTGTAACATAACGATTAAAAGTTAATTGGTTTAACACAGATTTAGTCCCAGAGTCTGCTGGGATAAGCCTATTGCGACTTTGCGTACAATTTTGTTTTTTAGGCTCTATTTAATTTTTGGTAACTATAAAAATCTTAATTTGTAAAACAGATTGATTAGTAATTTTGCAGAAACTAGGTTCCTAGTAATATTTTACAATTTTATATCAATTATTTTATTAGCCTATGTTGACTGAAAATAGTTTTAATAAATCTTAACTTAACTTAACATAAGTAACTTAATTATTGTTTAATAATTGTAAAACACTTAATAAGTTACCAACCATTTTAAATATTACCATAAAGCATTACATGTAAAGGGAATATTTCAGAATTTCTTTATAAAAATGAAATACTGTTTTTAATTTCGAATATTATTCAAAATAATAACAGTAAAGAATAATGCTTAGAAAGGAAGAAAAATAAAATATGACCGAAAATACTGTTAAATAAGGAATAAATCAATTTAAAGGAAAAATATGACTACATATAAATATGTTAATTTCATGTTTATGAAAACCAAAAAATATAATCTAGTTATATATTGGTTAATTACTTAATTTAAATTAATATTTCACACATCGAAGCAAAAGATTCTGTATATTTTTTGTGGCTTTTAATTTTCAATAAAAGAAACGTCTCTGTTAAAAAAAAAACTATAAACTTTTTAAGCCTAATTACATCTTTTAAACTACAAAGATTTAATGAAATATGTTCACTGCATTGATTTTAAATTGTATTAAACTAAGCCTGATGAAAAAATAAGAGGTCAAACAAAAAATAAAATTTGATATCTTTATTTACAGGCCCAGCAAAATGTTTAACAAAATTCCGATACTTTTTTCTTTTTGCTGCATCAATTTTTGTGATACATTATATAAATGAACAAGTTTATTAGTAAAATAAAAAAAAGATTTATGATTTGGCCTAACTGAATATTCAGCAAAAGGACATGAAACAACATTGTTCATCAAATTAGTCAACTGTTAGCTGTAGTGCAATAAAAGAAAGAAACTAAAATTTAGCGTAATTATCTGAAAACTAAATATTTTGTGCATCCCTTGCAGTAAAATATAAATGGGTGTTCTATTGTTTTATTTTTATTGAACTTTTTTTTTTAATATGAAAAAAATAATCTGAATCTCAATTTCTTTATTTAACTATTCAACTCTTAGAAAGTATCTAAAACCTAACTCTGTTTCAAGGCAATCTTAAAAAAGTAAAGACTAATTAGTTTCAGAAATATAGTTAAAATATATTTTTTATCAATATGTATAAATGTAAGCCATTTTTTTATATATGTTTTTTATAATAGTATATAAATTACATCTTTGTGTTTACGTTATAGAAATTCAGTAACTTTAGCTACATAAAATAATTTTATTTCATTAAAGCTGATAATTTTTTATTGATACAGGGATGGAACAGCAGCAAAACAATTTTGGAGCAAGTAAATATAGTTTTTGGAGCAAATAATTTTTATATTCGGAGCAACAAATTGCTTGTAAAATTACATTATTAAGCTCATAAATTTACAATTCCTAGCATATTTAACAGAGCTTGGGGAAAAAAATTATTAAATTAAAAGGATACATTAGAAACACAACAAAAAATTAGCCTAAATACAGGGCTGATTGTGCTCCGGAAAAAATCCTTTTTTCCGGAATTTTCGCTAACAGTGATCCGGAGATCGACGGTCCAAGCGTTTCAAAAAATCATTGATCACAGAAGTTTCCAGAAATCAAATTTTCAAAGGTGGAACTTAAAAACACAGTTTATTTTATTTGTTTGTAAGGGAGAGCCAGAGAAATACTTTATTCATGATTAATATTCATTTTTTATCAGTAAATAGTTATAATCATAAACTCAAGAAAGAAAGACATATTTGTAAATTTTAATTACTTCTCCAGGTCATCATAGGTATGTGTAAATGGTATAGGTATGTGTAAAATTTTAAATATATTTTAAGTAAACTAAGAAATCTTGAGAAAAAAAGGGGGAGACCTTGTTTAAATTTTTTTAATTTTAACTGGGTTTTTTATTTTTTTTTAACTCAAGAAATTTTCCGGAGTTTTGACTTGGGCTCACAATCATCCCTGTAAATATGTAATTGAAAAAATTACTCAATTGGTTTCCTGCTAAAATAAAATCTAAAAGATCAAATCATATTTAGCTTACTATACATTTTAAATAATTAAGTGAATGAAATATTTTTCGACCATTTGTGTGGTTTTTCAAATTATATTTTTGATGTGATTTTTGTGATGTGAATTTAAAGTTTTCTTAGTTTGCTTAACTCTTTACTTATCTTTACAAATTCGGTATGATCAATAATAATCTTGTTAATGTTTTCTTGAATATGCTTTTATAAATAACTTTTATTCAAATCTAAAAAATACACTTGATAACCTTTTTAAATAACTGTAATTTTGAATTTAAAAAAATTTTACATTATTGTATCAAGTAATTTAAAAAGTAGAATGATCCACTCAAAAATAGAATAGATTAGAAATTGTGCATAAATTGTTTTTATGGTGGCTAATATAATCAAGAAATGAATTCTTTGTCAGAAACTAGTTATTTTATCATGATCATGTAACATGTTTGTATTTCGATAACATAAATATGAAGAACTTTCAACAATATCAATGTGAAGAAGGAAATTTATTGGTGCGCATATCATCCTAATTATGAGTTTTTTAAAGTGCTTAAAAAGTACTTAAAAGGTGTTTATTTTTTGTAGAAAACTTTGACTGCGCACCCTGTTAAATCATTACTCTGCGTAGAAGTCCTAAAATGCAAAATTGATCTCGTTTTAAAATACAAGTTCTTGAAATGAAAGTTTGTTGAATAAAAACATAATTACTATTGCATATGAATTAAATATTTCACAGATTTTAATAAGCCTTTAATGTTTTTTTCATGAGAACGGATAATTCACATTTCTGTTCTAATTGAAGACACATTAATATGCTTTCAACAAATTGCATGCATTAGCTTTTATTAAGTTAATTTAGCTAAATCATATAAAACAGATTAAAACTAAATTGCCAAGTGAATAAAGCTTCAATTGCTTGTAAGTTTTTATTTAAATAAAAATAAATTACAATTACTTTGCTTGTAAAGTAAAAAATATACAGTACAGTGAATTTTTAAGAAGAAAAAAAACAACTTGTAAAAAAAAATGTGCCCCACCCAAAAAAGATCAAACTGGGCCACGTTGGTGAACCATATTACAAAATGAATTTTAAACTTTCTATGTATTTTAGGTTCTGGGAATTGTTACTGGTGTGCTTTTACAAGATCAGGAATTGAAAGGTGTAGAGTTCCAACAATTGCCTTATCATAGAATTTTTATAATGCTGTTCTTAGAGCTTAGTGCCCCGGAGGCAGTACTAGAAGCAATAAGTGCACAAATTCTTACAGCCTTCTGGTATTATACATCTTGTGAACTTTTATCTTGTGTCTTGTTTCTTACCACAATACTAATTAGGTCTCTATTTCTTTTAGCAATACTCTTTATTACCTAAGACCGCAAAAGGCANTTATGGGCATTTACCTGTATAATTTATTGGCTATAGATTTATACAGTTAATGTATGTGTTTCAAATAAAAACTGTTGAGTTTCAAATAAAAGTTTGTGGAGTTAGCCGTAAAAGCTTGTTACAAAGAAAAATATCATAAATTTATATTTCCCGGAGGAAAAATTAAATCTTGAGCTCCAAAATATAGTTAAGATATTAAGAATAATGTATCAATAAATATAATTTATGATTTTTATTAGAAAGTATATACATTTTGTTCTTTATAATAAAAAAGATTTAGAAAATTTAAGTATTAAATATTACGAACTCTGGAGAGAAAAAGTGGCTTTGTAGCAGTTTTCATTTGCAGTCCTTCTTTTTTTTTTTTTTTTTTTTTTTTTTTTTTTTTTTTTTCTAAATTCATAAAATTACTTTTTTGTTTTAATTGGAAAATTTAGTTAAGTATCTAATATTTTCTAAACACATAAAATATTCTTCCCTCAACTATTTATTGTATTTCCTAGTTTGTATAATTCTTTTAACAAAATTTTTTAATGTTATTTTTCTTTTTAGGGATGGACTATGTATGCACAACTGTTGATTAGCTTATTCAAGTTCTTGTCTCCTTTCCTCAGAAATGTCGAGCTCGCATCTCCCATCCAATTACTTTACAGGGTAAATATAAAGTTATTTACTTCTCTTGAAACATCTTAACTATGACTTATTTACTCAAAATGTTTTATTTTTTAGGGTACTCTTAGAGTGTTATTAGTGTTACTACATGATTTCCCAGAGTTTCTTTGTGATTATCATTATGGTTTCTGCGATGTTATTGCCCCTAACTGTATCCAGATGCGGAACTTGATTTTAAGTGCTTTTCCAAGAAATATGAGACTACCAGATCCATTCACTCCTAATTTAAAAGTTGATCTCTTACCAGATATCACTCAAGCTCCCAGAATACTCGCAAATTTTAATACTCTGATTGTGCCAGCATCTTTCAAAAAGGTGATCTAGTGATAACTTTTAAATAATTGATAAAATTACTGCATAACTGTTTTTTTTTTTTTTTTTTTTTTTTTTNCGTATGGAAGATTTTTTTTTTTTTTTAAATAAATATATATATGTATTTTTAGTGTATGTGTGTATTTGAAAATTTAAGACTTTCTGTAAAATTTCTGTCATCAATGTGATAATATTTTTTCGTGTTTTTAAATGGGTATTACGCGTAAAATCATTATCAAAGCATTGCAAGTATTTATAGACAACACGCGATGGTCAGTACCTCTTAATTGTTTAATTTTCAAGCTGTGTAATAAGTTTTGTTAGATTTTAAATATCATTTGTTTAAGGATAAAGTCGATTAACTGTTAGCTTGGCTACATAACAAAATTAATAACCACTTTGTATATTGCTCATTTTCTCCCAAATTTTTTTTTTAAAATATTTTGACTTTTGAAAGACCTGACCGAGCTATAATAGATAAATAATAAACAGAATAGTGGTTGCTTTTATATTTTTCTTTTCATCTTTTTTGCTCTGGAAGAAAAATTACTTTTAAAATAACTTACACTGTAGAAATGATTTATAATGAAAGCAAAGTGACTTATGTTAATTTACACATTAAAAGAATGTCAATGGAAATTATGTGCAAATATGATTTGGAAAATGTTTTAGAAACTGTGTAATAATTAGAAATGTGTTATTGAATCTAAATAGAAATTAATTTCTCATTTTTTAAATAGAGAAAAAAAATTTCTTTTATATGAAGAACATTTTGTTGCCTCTGCCATTATCTAAGATGAGTGTTAAAAATGATAACATCCCAAAAAATGTCAAGCACATGAAACATACAATTCATAAACTTTTACTCAGTGTTATGCATGCAAAAACTGACAAAATTTATAAACTAATTTGCTTAGAACTGTCTTGTGTTATAGATTGCAACAATAACCCACAGTTATTATTTTTTTTATCCATTCTCTTTGACTACAGCCTTGAACTTTATGAAAAATGTCTTGTTAAATCCACACATGTTATTTTTCAGTATCCTTTTAAATTTATTTAGTCAAAGGCGACAAAATATGCTAAGGAACTGGCATCACCATGATATTTCATTTATTTTATTTTAATACATCATATATCTGTAAAATTACATATCTGTAATGACATGGTTTTTCTTATATATATATACAGTTGAACCTGGTTATCTCGTACCTCTTTATCTCGAAAACCTCTTTATTTCAAAATTTTTAAAATTCCCTACATTTACTGTCTAAAATCAATGCATTTTCCATGTTTATGTCGAAATTTTTTTCTTCGAAACCTCCGTTTCTCGAATTTTTAACAATAGAGCAAAAATTTTACAACTTTTTTTATCAGTAGAATTCGTAGACAGAGATGAATTTCGTGAATCCACAGGAAGTCGGGATGAACAGGTTGGGGGGTTTTCTTGGAATTTCAATCACTATCCCTGCACTTCCTTAACTGGAAAGGAATACAATGATTCTGGCAGTAAGTAAGGGGTTAATAAGTAGTCACCGTCAGGTGTTAGCTTTTCAACATAGATAAAAAAGCTATGAATAGGAATTCATTTTGACCTCAAAGTTGCAACCAATGGATCAAAGGATAATTAAGAGTTTTAAAGTGAACTATAGAAAACAGTTGGTACTCAAACTTGTAGATGTTATCGATAAAAAAAGTTAGACGCTATCAGAATTACTGTTTTGCCTGGAGAAATGTGTCTCTAAAAACTATCCAAAATGGTTTTAAGAATAGCTGAGATGATGATGAATAAGAGATTGAAGACATCAGCAAAGAAGAAGAAAATATTTTTGCTGAAAATGCGGTGCCAGATTTGCCAGAATGGAATGCAGTAAAATCTGGATTTAATGTTGACCTTAATTTTGAAAATTTTTACAAGTGAACAACTGCCTGGTAACATGTGGAACATTGACAGATGCCTAAATCATTGGTAATGTCAAAGGAATATCAGATGAAGAGGAAGAAGCTGAAGATCATATTGATGAATCAAAAGTGAATGCAAAAGAAGTAGAAAAAGATGTAGAATTCTCATAAATCAGTCTAGAATCCCAGGAAAATGTTGGCTATGAGGAATTTGCGATCTTTCAAACCTCAAAAGAATAATCGAAATAAATAAAATTCTTCGTCAAAAATCTTGGAAAAATTTTTTTCAGCGTTAAATGTATGTTAAAAAACTGTTATGTAAATAGATGTATTTGGTGTAATTAATTTAAAGAAATGTCTATATTTTTCTACTGAAAACAATTAAAGCACTTTTAAGAGAATTTCTTAATTAAATTTGATTTTTTTTTAGAGTACCTGCATAACTCGAAACCTCTATCTCGAATTTTTCGCCTTTCCCGTGGGATTCGAGATAAACAGGTTCAACTGTATATCATAAATTTTAGTAAGAATTCATCATCATGTTTATTTAATTCAAATCAATTCGGAAAAACTTGATAACACTTTATTATTGAAAAAATAGTAACATTTGTAATATCACTTTCTAATTTTCTTGTGTAGTTGTTCGTAAGCATTTATTTAACTATTATGTGTCTAGTTTAGTTGTAATTTATAATTTATTTTCTGACATATTTTGATTAACTGTTTAGTTATGGAAACTTTTTAATTTAATGTGTCAATAAATCATGTTTTATATAGGAATTGGATTCTTACATAAAGACTAGAGCACCTGTCACATTTTTATCTGAACTTCGAAGTAGCCTACAAGTAAGTTAATTTTTAGTTTCTCTTGTGTATCATTTAGATAATGTACATATAATAAATAAAAATCTAAGTTTATTTCTGCAGTAAAAGTTCAATACTATTTGTCTCTTAAATTTTTTTCGCTTTTAAGATCTAGGAGTATATATGTTAACTTTTATTTACAATTACATTCCTGTAACCTTTTATGAACTAGATCTAAATACAGGTGCTAAAAATTTTGATAAATTGTGTTACAAAAAACTTAAATAATGTTACAAAAGTATTTAAAAAGTTGAGCAATTCAGACTTCATCCCATTGAAATTGTAAAAAGAAAATAATAATAATAAAATTATTTTTACTTGAAGTCAAATTGAATAAAGTAGAAAAGTGATGTAAAAAGTTTAAAAAATAGCTAATATAAATGTAAAAGTGTTATGTAAAAATGTTTTAAACATATTTCCACTATTAAATAGATTTCTGATTTATATTTGATAACTTTCACATTTTGAGTTTTCTCTTTCTCTGGGCATTTTTGCTTTTTTTTCCCCTCATTATGGGCATTTACCTTTTGCGTATTCGACACTTATTTTACTAGGATTTGTTTGGTATTGACTCACTTTTAGATAATATTTAAATATTTTTGTTATTTATAACTCTCAATATCTTTTGCAATCTTGTTTTCTCCTATTTGTTACTTTTTTCACATTTATTTAAATGTAGATGAAAATATGTCAGTTTTTCTATTTCAATTTTTAAAAAATCTATGTTTTAAAAGAAATTTTCACAGCTTTGGAAATCAGCAAAATCTGAGCTTTATAACGAGTTCACAAATGACACATTTCTGGACTTACTTTTGCGTACCAATACTGTCACATGCGAAAAATATTATGTAAATTGTATTTATTATTTAAAAAAATTTTAAAATAACTCATTTTGTTTTCTTACCTTTTTACTCTGAAATCTTCTTGCATTTATAACAAATTCTGGAACACTTTCTAGGTATCAAATGAACCTGGAATGAGGTACAATATACCTCTCATGAATGCTTTGGTGTTATATGTTGGTACCCAAGCCATTAGTTACATCCAAACCAAAGGTCAAACACCTAGTATGAGTACAATTACACATTCATCTCATATGGATATATTTCAAAATCTAGCTGTTGATTTGGATACTGAAGGTAGGAATAATAATTTTTTATATTGAAATTTTCATTTTTTACTTTCAATATTTTCTAATAAAAATCAACGTAAAACATTTGTGCCTGACTCATAAAAAAGTTCATTACAATCTAAAAGGCGCTTTTTATTTTAATATTAACATTATATCTTTATTAAATACATATAAATGTACAGAGCTCCAAAATTGTACAGTTTTTTTTTTTTTTTTTTTAAATTTCACACAAATAATAGAAAATGGAAAGAATAATAATTAAAGTAAACNGAGTCATTCATTATTAATAAAAATATAATGCTGTCATATTTTTATTTTGCAGTAAAATTTGTTTTTATCCACTGTAGGGGAAATTATACTTTCTTCTCTTTTTTTTTCAAAGTGCAGGGCTGATTGTGCTCCGGAAAAAATCCGGATTTTCCCTAACAGTGATCCGGAAGTTTCCAGAGATCGAAGGTCCAGATTTTTCAAAAAAATCATTGATCTAAGAAGTTTCTGGAAATCAAATTTTCGAAAATGGAACTAATAAACACAGTTTATTTTATTTGTTTGTAAGGGAGAGCCAGAGGGATACTTTATAAGCTTATATTCCAGATTAATATTAATTTTTTATCAGTAAATAGTTATGATCATAAACTCAAGAAAGAAAAGACATATTTGCAAATTTTAATTACTTCTTCAGGTCATCATAGGTATGTGTAAATGGTATAGGTGTTTGTAAAATTTTAAATATATTTTAAGTAAACTAAGAAATATTGAGAAAAGGAGAAAAACCTTGTTTAAATTTTTTTTCTTCTCATTTTTCAATTTAAACTGTTTTTTGTTTTTTTTTTTTAACTCAAGAAATTTCCGGAATTTTGATTTGGGCTCACAATCACCCCTATCATCAAGTGTTTGGTATATGTATACTGTACCGAAAAATTTTCTGATTTTTGTCTTGATTTTTTCTTTGATTCACTATGCTTATTCACTTTATTTGCTATTTATATAATTAATAATTTTTTTTTTTTGTCTTGTAAATATGTTAATAGTTAAGATTATTGTGTTTCAGGGAGATATCTATTTTTAAATGCTATTGCCAATCAGCTGAGATATCCAAACAGTCATACACACTATTTCAGTTGTACTCTTTTATATCTGTTTGCTGAAGCGAATACTGAAGCCATTCAGGAACAAATCACAAGGTATGTTTTGCTATGTGACACTTTTTTTAAACTCTTAATAAATTAACAAAATTAGTTGTTAATCATTATTGTTTTTTAATGTGTTAAAAAGTAAAATCTATAGTTAAATTGAATTAAATTTAGCATTTTTTTTTTCTAAAACTTAAGCTTTTTTTTTTTGGCAATATTTAGACTTATTAATGAAAAATAAACAATGCAAGAATTGTTAAACTTGATTGAACCCTGATACTCAGTTGAGTATAAATAATTTGTTTGATCACTTTTTAAAATATTTAATTGTATTTTTTGAGTTAAATATCAGTGTTTTCTCCCATCTTTATTTAATCTGTATCTTCTTAGTTTGCCATGACTCTTAGATTGTTTCTTTCCAAACTAAAAATGAAGACTTTCATTATAAAAAATTTGTGGACATTTGTTGCTTATGAAGTAATTCTGTTTTCTTTTTAAAAAATAAAAAAATTTCTTTCAGGGTTCTGCTTGAGCGATTAATTGTAAATCGTCCTCATCCTTGGGGTTTGTTGATAACATTTATTGAACTCATCAAAAATCAAAGTTTTAAGTTTTGGAATCATGAGTTTGTTAGATGTGCTCCTGAAATAGAAAAGTTAGTATTACTTTCTTTATACTCTCAATTACTTATATAGATTAAAATTTGTGTGAGAATCAGCAAAAACCTTGAAATGTGTTGATTTTTGTCCTATTGATAGGCCACTTTTGTTGCTTTATTTTTACCCAAGTTTTATTTTAAATATTTATATTGACATTTAATGTTTGTTAAAATTTTTGATTAATGTTCTAACACAAATAAATTCCAAATAAATGCACTTTTTTGCAATTGAAACCAGGTAACTCAAGGAAAGATTAGTGGAGGAATAAACATATTTCTTATAAACTGTAACTTTAGTTTCTTACAGATTCGAGTTCTCCTGATTGATTAAAAGAAATGACGTTTTTTATTAGTGACTATAAATATGTGTGTTCTTTCATGTGTGACTCTCTGTGTATCAATTAATAATGATCCTGAAATGTGAAGTTGGTATTCGTTGATGTCAACATTTATTTATTTTTTTTATTTAATAGGATTAAATAAATATTTCATAATGGGTGATAAGTATTTTTTTTTATGACATATAGCTCTGCTGAAATGTGGTTTAGTACTCACACTAAGATTATTTTTACTTTTCTACCTCCATTTAAAGAAGAAAAAGCAGCTAAATGTCATTGATTTCTGTGTAAGGCTTATTAAGACCATGGTCCATCTATATCAACTTGAGTATGTGTTTAGATGGTTAAAAGTAAATATTTTATCATAAATCTTGAGACATTGCAGAACTAGTATTGTTGAACTGAGATTTGTGTTGAAATCTGGAAAAAAAATGCCTTATTTTTGAAAGTTACTGAACTACCAAGTAAATTTGATCTCCATATCTTGGGAATGGTTCAGAAGTAAGAAAATTTGTTGTCACGAGACTTGGAAAAGAGATTTATAGTTCCTGTCTAAAAATGCTAGAAAACACTCAAAAAGTATATCTAAACAGATATAGTCTTTTCCGACTACCTGATTTTTCATGATAGCCTGTCTGAATATTAATCATTCATGTTAGAAGTGCAATTTAAAAAAAGGCTAATTCTTTATTGCTTTAAAAGGACACTCATTCTTTCAAGATGGAATTTGTATAATGCCTGTCATTTCATAACATAGGAAAGCTGGTTTTGCTATGCTAAGAAGAATGTAGCCTTAAATATAATTTTCTAAGTGCATCACTGCCAGAGGTTTTTTTTAAAAATATTTATCTGTTTAATTTGCTGTTAAATTAAGACCATTGAAGTAGAAAAGGTTCTAACTTCTATTTTATTTTGATATCTAACCTTTTCCTAATGATTGATATTTTTCCCCCTTAAAAACACACACTTTTATTTAATAGAGTTGGATGTGCTAATCATATCCACAAATGTTGAATTCATGTAAAGCTAGTAATTTTTATGTGGTTAATTATTACTAGCATCAACATCTCTCACTATTTAAAAAAAAAAAAAACATGGATTATTTCCTAAACAAATTTTTTAGATAGCCTAATAAAGTTGCATAGTAAGTTTGGCTATCAGTTTCAAATAATGCAATAAAAATGTGTATTTTTTTTTTTTTTTTTTTTTTTTTATAAAAGCACTTGAGTCGCGATGGCTCAGGAGATAGAGCGTTCCCCTTCCAATGAGGTGAACCGAGTTCAAATCCCGGCAATGGCTGGTCGGTACGAATTCCGCATCCGGCTTGCATCGACCACAGTGCTGACGTGAAATATCCTCAGTGGTAGACGGATCATGGGTTAGAGTCCCCTTGCCGTCAAGTTAACCGTAGGAGGTTCTCGTGGTCTTCCTCTCCATGTAATGCAAATGTGGGTTAGTTCCATCAAAAAGTCCTTCACAAGGGCAAATTTTTTCCCAATACTTGATACAGGAGTTCCCTTGTCTTCTGGATTGGGTTCAAAATTACAAGGCTATGTAGTTGAACATTAGCAGTCGTAAACCCAAAAATGGGTCGACTGTTCAATGACGGTTATAAAATAAAAGCACTTTATCAATACCAGCCTACTTGATATATTATTTACTAAGCATCAATGATTTTTTAAATAACATCAATTTTATGACACTAATTTGTTGGAGTTTTAAAAGATCGAGTCATTTAACCATAAGTTGATTATATTACATGAATTCTATTCAATTTATTTATTTATAAATTGTGTTTTAACTGATAATTAACTTTTTGTTCCCATATATTTCTTTTTTCAGACTATTTGAATCCGTTGCAAGGTCTTGTATGCATCCAAAGCCTTCATCCGAACAGACTAGCTCATGAAAATCATATGTAAATATCAATGAAAAACTGTGATTACTGCCTATCATAGACTTAAACAGCCTAAGTTGCTGTCACTCTTGCCACAGTTCTTTCGTACTCATGAAGTTCCATGTTCTGTCTGCCAAAACAAGCATTTGTGATTATTCGCGTCACATTTTAAGGCAGCTGGGACAATGTAAATTAAGCATAGATTTCGTTTTATCTCTTATGTGTTTTTTGTAGTTGATGTATGATTTTTGTTTTGAAAATGATTTTTGCAATAAAAAGGAATTTGAATTTTTTCCTTTCAGTTGTCTAATTATTTCAATGCTGTATATTTTTTTGGACTTGAAAAATCCTTCTTTCCTGGGTAACTTCAAAGTTCTTAATTTCAAAAAAACCAATGATTAATATTTTGAAAATATTTTAAATAGAATAATATATAAAGTAATAATTATTAGGCTGATGAAAAAAGTTCTAATACTTTGAAACAGTGCTAAAAAAGAACTTGTATATTTTTAGCACTTGTAATTTATCAGAGAGTAATTTATAATTTATATTATCAGATTATTATTCTGGGAAAAACATGTTAACAACCAAATACAAATTTTGTAAGGTAAGAAGTAACAGAAAGATTTGCAACATTGCTTCTCCTTCAAATCGCCAGAGTGTATCATCCTGAAGTAACTTCTGTTTTAATTATCAGATTTTATGTCTACTGACTGTTAATGCTAACCTTAATGATTAGAAGTATTTATCTCAAATGTATTAATTAATTCTAACTATTAATCAGACACAAAAATAAACGTACTTTCTTTGATTAAACATGCCTATTTTGTTTCTAAGGATTTTGCTAAGTTTTCTAATTTTTCACCCTCTAAGTATGGGATAGCCACCATCTGGAAAATGAAATGAGGAAAGTGGTTGAAAGTTTGTACCCTTAAACTTTTTAATTTTAAGTAACAAACAAGTAGTAACAATTTTTCTTTTTTAATAAGCGAAGTTCTGCTAAAATTTACTTAAAACAATGTCACTCGGTTTTTAAACTTTGATTTATTTTAATGGAAGGTTGAATTTATATGTCCAGAAGAAATTGTCAGCTTTAGTTAAAATAACTGTAATCTATTTCAAAATTATCAAGATCACTTTTGCTTTCAGACTTGATGATGCAAAGAACATTCACATCAAAAATTTAAATATTAGGAACAAATACATACTAGTCTAATGCACATAATGTTTATGACCATCATTACAGAGGTTTAGACTCAAAAGGACAGTCATTTTATTATTCTCATCCTAGTTTGTATAAATTAACTGTTGGCAAAAACGAAATGATTAACGTTCACCTCCTATCTGACCACTTAGCGTTTAGGGTTGAAACACATAAGTTTTTTAATTGTTATACGAGTCCCAGACAAAGTGAAAAAAAAATTTGTTTTATTAAGATAAAAAACAGTTTGCCATCTATTCTAAAGTCTTAAAATATTTTAAATCGACTAGTATTTTCCAATTTATAAGTCAAATTTACACAGATTTCAGTAAAAATTTTGACAAAACTATAAAATTACCGAACAAGAATATACTTCATCTAACAGTTGACTCGGTACAATGCTTATTGATTAATCACCGCTAGTTATTCCAAGAGTGTTTTTCTATAAAAAAAAAAAGACTGCATTTAAAATCTGTAATTTTTAGTATACCTATTAAGGTAAAAAATGAGATTTTTTTCAAGTTTTTAGTGTATCAACGTAATCTTAAAGACAAAGATAAATTCTTGTCAATTAGGAATATGCAGTAATTATAAATTAATTAAATTTTCTAGAAATACTCTATTTCGCTGGCCAAGCCATGGAACTTCTTACGAAGTTGATTTTAAATTGCTTCACAATCTGAGGCACATCGTTTTTTATTCCGTATTTGTCCATTTTTACTGCTATACTTGCATAATTTTATCTGGCATAAAACGTAAGTTTATAGATGTTTTAAGTTAGGAATTCGAAGTGTTAGTGTTTCCCTAGCAAAACATGTTTTGTCTCAATACTAAAAAAAGTTACTGTCGCTACCGTTCCTTTTCAGAAAATTTTTACTGAGCCTGCTTTTCTATGTCATAACTCAAAAACTTTTTAATGAAATTTTGAACATTTACAGAAAAATGTTTTTAAAAATTTCTGGTATCAAAATGTTGATGTAGTCGTTATTTAATGTCAAAGAGGAAAATTGCTGTTTTGTGTCACGTAATTCAGTTTAGGGAAAACTAATAGCAGAAAATTATGATTGTTTTGAAGCTAAGCACTATTAGAGTTTCTAAAAATGAATAATTTCTCTCAGTTTATGTAAGTTTTTGAGAAATTAAATAGCTCATATAGACGATATTCAGACTTCTTCAATGTAAAGGGAAAACAAATTGCAGTAAAATTATATTTTTTTTGCAGCTCCTTCTGACTGAAGACATAAAAAAAAATTAAAGTTCTAGCCTTTTCTAAAATCTTATTGTATTTTTATACAATCCTGAAAGGTTAACAAATAATATGCATTTATTTTACTCCCTTTTTTTTTAGGATTTATTTTAATTATATTGGACTCTGTATTGATATTATATAAGCTATTGAGAGTTCTTCTGCAGTGTATCCTTCCCGCCCGTAAGTGACGTTGTTAAGATTTTAATTTCATTCTCCTTTCTTTATTTCATTTGCAAGGAAATATTTTTACATTTAAAATTTTCGTGAATTGAATTTTTAAACATATCTACATATATGAGTTATTTAAAAACTTCCCTTCAGGTTTAATTTGATAATTTAAGCGTACTTATTACATGGTGGGCCGGGATAGCGTGATTGGTAGGGCGCTGGGCCCATGTCCGAGAGTTCGTGGGTTCGAACCCCGCCGGCCGAAGACTGTGACTAGTAAAGTGACTGGTGCACGTTAAATCTGGCAAATCGCAAAAGTCCTCCATGTTCCCATAACAAATCAATACCTCTGGGGGTGCTGGATTCGAGGTCTATCGTTCTCTGATTCAGGTCAAAATTACGATCTGTGGATGTATGAATGGGTCCGCCCTATAAACGGGTGTGGCAGAAGTCGAATTCTTGGCCATAGATGGCACCACTAGAAAACAAGAACAATTGCACCCCCTCTGCCTAAACAGGCATACGTCAACAACTTATTACATGGTAAAATATTTTTTTTTATTTCCAATGAACTGCACAATCGGTCTTGCCGATGAGCAGATCTAGTGCGTTCTCCAGATGTGGTATCCACTCTTTCAGGACCACCACAATGGGTGAGATACCGTTGGTCATGTTAATTTGGGCGTCTAGTTTCTGCCACACTAGATGGCAGCACCGAGACTCTATTTGGATGCTAAAGTGCACTAGGAATTTAATTTTATCGGAAATGCCAAGAGGCAATAAGGCACTCCAGGTATCTTTTACATGCCGCATAATCATACGCCGTGGCCGCTAAGGATTTTCTGCATCCGACAAATCCGGCGTCTGGGCCGGGGATCGAACCCACTGACTTGGGTAAAATATGAAAAAGTAAATTTAACATTGAAAATCTTCCTATTTGAGTTTCTATTTTTGGTTTTTCGATTTGGATTTCTTTTTCCTTATTCTGAATTTGTATAGTTTTTAATATCATGTTTTATGTGCTACATTTAATAATTCAAACCAAGAATAATTAAATCAAAGTAACGCTTTTTTTCATTTGTAAGAGTGTTCTCCAAATTTAAAATTATCATGTCTCATTTTCTTGGACGATTAACATTTAGAAGCGTTTGTTATGATGACTACTGAGAAAGACATTGAATTCCCATTAAAAGTGACATGGTATGAAAACAGCTTAAAAAAGTAAATATTTTTTTTACCTTTTTAAAAGCAGTAGTCATTGCTTTAGAAATATTATTTAAACCTTCAAAAACTTTTTTTTAAATACATATATTGTAATATTAATGTTTTCCATTTCTTTGAAAGTTTTTTTTTTTTTTTTAAGGTTTAGTAAAGATTTTACTGGCCTTTATGTTTGCTTGTAAGGACAATTTATTGGTTCATTTCGGAAAAAAAAAAATCCTTTTGAAAATTTTTGTAAGGAATTTTGCTGTTTTCGTTATATTTTCAATTTTAATCAACAATTTATTTGTATTTAATTTATTTCAAAAATTGAATGATTTGAATTAATTTAAAAATTGTATAACTACTACAAGAAATCGAAAGTTAAATTTCCCAATATGCTTTGTATATATACCACACGGCGCCCCCTAAAAGTTGCACCCACCGCCCTCCAGGGCATCTCAGTCCATCCCTCTGAGTTATGAGTCAACAGCGCACTTTTCATACCTGGAACGCACGTGGCTTAACCGAGATTTCCTTGCCATCACTCGCGGCAATAAACACGTTAATCAGTGAATTACAGAATCTTTTGTATTTGATAATGAAAACTAGATTCCTAGGTTATTAATGATAATAATGTATAATTCAAATATAGATTAAATATTCCAAAGATTTTTTTTTCTCTCCTTCCTTAGAATGTCAATTTTCACTTTAGTATGCACAGTGTATACCAAACTAATAAAAAAAAAGGATATTATTCTCAATAACTTTTATTCTAATGGTCGTATTTTCTCGTAAAGTAACAATCTTACTTAGATGTGTGGTGGATCTCAAATTTCTCGGTTAGTGGTCACTATCAATAAAGTTAGGAAATCAGACACAAAAAAGCATTTCCCTGGAATAAACATTCCTTTTTCTCGACACATGAAATTTCTTGACCTTTAAAAAAAATGGTGGTTATCGTAATCTGGAAATTCTCTATGACGCTACAGCCCTCTGTGGGTCTTAATATGCTGGACAAAGGTGTTCCAAATCTTTCTGATTTTAGTCTTAGATTTTCATTATATTTTGTTATATCATCTGATCGTCTCTTTTTAGATCAGGGCTTCTTAACCTGTGGTTCATGAACCCCTAAGGGGTCCATGAGTTATATTTTGGGGGTCCGCTGACTGCTCCTAATTTCTAAAACGTTTGGAAGCATACCCATTGCTTGTAAAGCGAGCTATGGCATCTATAATTCCGTTTGCTACAGTGTATCTTTGCGAAGCGGGATTTTCCACACTTGTGACAATAAAAACATAACATCGAAATCGATTGAATATTGAACATGATATGCACGTTGCTTTGTCGAAAACCATCCCCCAATTCAATTTATTAATTAAGGAAAAGCAGCAGCAACCTTCACATTAAAAATTTTATATACTATTAAAATAATATAATTAAATGTTTTCTAATAAATGATGTTTTTTGCAATTAT